CCCCCCCCCCCCTCCCGCGGTAAAGAATTTCTAGCTACGCTCCTGTCCAGGAAAGCGTAGGCGGATCCAGGGAAGGGTAAGTGGGCGAATCCAGGGAAGGGTAGGCGGACCGAGGAAATCGTAGGCGGATCCAGACACCTGGAAACATCGAACAGGGGAGGCGGAAGGACGATCAGGGGCTTCCCCCAGAAATTTTCGAAATTTCTAAGCATCTAACATGCAATTTGAGTCAATTAATTGACATGAATAATTACCAAATATAAGCGTCTTTCCTTCCTTTTTGCTCCGATCCTTTCTTCTCTCTTTCTTTCTTTCATTCCTTCCTCCTTTTTTTCGAGCAAAGGGGGGAGAGGTGGACGCCCCTCCTTGGATCCGCTCATGGCTCGAAGAAAAGGAGAGCGACAATTGAGGGAAGAAATGAGAAAAGAAGGACGTTTATATTTGATAATTATTAATGACAAAAGTGACTCCAACTGCATATTAGATGCCTTAAAACTTCGGAAATTCTCTGGGACCCCCCCCCCTTCCGGTTTTAAGTGTCAAGATCCCGGCTTTGCGAGGGTAGGGATTTAATGGAACTTTGCCCATCCCAGTATCGCGGAAACTTTCGGGTGACTTTCTGTTACCAAATGGACTGCATTTTGCAATTTGGACCTATAAATTCCGGCCCGGTTTAAAAACAACGTATGTGCCATTAGTTTCCCTCGGCAAATGAGTGTTTTTTCAGATGAGCCAGAATTTATAGGTCCAAATTGCAAAATGCAGTCCAAATAATGACGAGACTCATCTTAACTCCGAGTTTTTACGTCCAAAAAAATCCATGGAATTCTCAGTGGATGACATATTTTACCGTGTAAAAGAATCACCGTGACGCATTTACGAATAACGGAAATGGAACAAAGCGTTTTCTGTAAATATGCATCTCTATTGATGTACGTACATGCTTCTCTGGACGGCGTCCGGATACAACTATTCCAGCTCTCCGGTCGTCTATGTTGCATACCTAACTAATAGAAGGCGCCCGACCGTCTCTCCGCTCACAACTGAGCTCGCGCTTGCTCGAAATGCTCAACAGCCTGTGTCACACTATCAACGTTAGCCATCAAAATATCAAGGTCAGGTGTTGTGATAGGCTTTTTCGATGACTTGTACCAATCACAGCACTTGACCTTGAAATTTTGATGGAGTATTTTGATAGTGTGACACAGGCTAATTACCGGAGCTTTTTGCTCTCTACGTCGACTCGTCGATTTTTGCCGTGGGTCTTTACTTATTGTCAGTTGAATGTTATTTCCTCCTCGACTAGATCGTAAAACCGTTATTGGAATTCTGCCGTGCTAAACTGAAACGCCGTATGAACATTCAAGAGTTGCCAAATTTCCCCGGATAAAACATGTATTTTTGAGAAAGATTATGCGTATTCTTCCTTCATATTTTCAGACATTTTAGACAAAATTGCGAACAAAATTGTCCCAAAAAATTGAAGGAAAAAATTCACAATTTTCCAGTAAATTAAGGTTTCATTGGAGGAAATTTGGCAACGTCTGAAGGTTCATACGGCGTTCTTCCTTAGCACGGCAGTATTAGCCTATAACGATTTTACGACATGATAAGAAGGTCTCTGCATCAAATGCATGCACGCGTTCCGCCGTTACTGCAAAAACGCCGCAACTACATTCAAAATGTGTTTTTCTTCCGCGCTTAGTGTTCTATCACTGGAAAACCTTATCATTCCTACATTTCGTCTTTGACATTTTATGTTCTCAACGTATGCGACAATTAGTCTAAAATTATGAAGAATGAATCTGCCGTGCTAAGTAAGAACGCCGTATGAACATCGAGAGTTGCCAAATTTCCTCGGATGAAATGTTTATTTTTGAGGAAACTCATATATGAATTTTTTCCTTGCAATTTTCAGACACTTTAGATCAAATTACGAACAAAACTATCCGAGAAACTGGCAGATTAATATTTATAAAATTTCCTGTAAATTAGTGCTTTGCCAGAAAAAATTTGGCAACTTCTGAAGGCTCATACGGCGTTTTTCCTTAGCACGGCAGGAATGCTCGTCGGTTTTTCTGGAATAACGCATTTCGTCCGAAAAAAAACCGGATAACACCTCTGGAACGGTGTTGGCGTTTTTGCTTCGGAAATCGGCGTCAAGTTGGCGTTCTCCTTTGCCTTCTCCATGATCGAAACGTTGAAACTTCAGATCAAAAAACGGAAATCCGTACAAATTACCGTGTTTTTTTCCCTGCGGTGCACACTGGAGCGAGTCAATAGGAGAAGTCGCTCATAATCTGGAAACTTGGAAAGCTTATATTTTCGAAAATATGAAATGAAAAAGTTGAGAGTTGTTCCTTTGGTTTTTCCGAGGAATTTCCTTTCAAAAACACTCTTTGAAATTGGATTTGTGACGCAATAAACATAAAAATTTGGAATGTTAGCCAACAATTTCATGACCAGCTTCTTCTGTCAGTTCGTTCTACTGTGCGGCGCAAGGAAAATTCCTTGGAAAATGCTGCCGATATGTTCTCCAGTAAAGGAATAAAATAGGAACCAAGATTTTAAAATATTACAACCGAGGTACGAGGTACGTGGTTTGGGAGTCTGACCGTCGCGATGCCACCACCCTCTCTTATTGGCGGATCCAGCAAATTGGCAACATTGTCTTTTCTCCATTTAAGGCGATTCGTCAAGCTCAAGTGACGTGGTCGAACCGGCATGCGATATATCGCATTATTAGGTCAAAAATCTCGGCAGATCGTGAATTTTTAGCAGAAAAAGAACGATAGCCCCTGCGCATAAGCCTTTAGAATCATTCTAAATCCAAAAATCGAAAAAATTCAGAGAAATGAAAGCAGAGTAGTGTTTGGGAAAAAACCTCGCATTCGATACAGGAATCAATTGCTGAATCGAATGCGAGGTTTTTTTCCAAACACTATGCTGCTGTCGTTTCTCTGAATTTTGCCGATTTTTGGGTTTAGAATGATTCTTTAGGCTCGTGCGCAGGGCTATCGTCTTTATTTTGCTATATATTCAAAATCTACCGAGATTTTTGACCTAATCAATGCGATACATCGCATGCCAGTTCGAGCATGTCACTTGAGCTTGACGAATCACCTTAAACCTGCGGAGGACCCTGGTAAAAATTGGCAGTAGAATCTGTGTTCCAAAATACCATAGACCTACGGCCGGCTGTAAGATTTCCAATAGCTTCTATAGCCGGCTACACAATTCCTTATAGCCTTTTTTAGCCGATGGCGATCAAGCAACTCACAGCCAGGCGATAATGTGTATGCTAAACGTCGCTAATTACGGATGTTAGGACTTAGTGAGTTTTTGTACCACTGCTCTCTTTTTGGGCCGTAGTATCTTGATTCGGACTTATTTCTACCAAACAGACCTATGTGGAGGTGAGAAATATGGGGTGTGCTCTTGGGAGCTGCATAAGCAGCAATGTAAAAGTGGGCGTGATTCCTTTTCAAGAATTGGAAAAGCGGGAGATTACATTCTATCAAACAGACCTATGTGCCAAGTGAATGCGGAACTCATGAGCCGCGGGCATGGCAAGAGAGCGTTGTGGACAGGGCTCATGAGTTTATGCGGAGGCGGGCGGACGGCGGAGACCGGTCTCGTTGCCGCTGACGTCACCGGCGCTTTATTATTCTCATTCACTCTTACCGCCAGAGAACTAACGAGCACACCCCATATTTCTCACTTGCACATAGGTCTCTTTGGTAGAAATACGTCCATTTATTTTGCGAGGAAAGCTCCGTGCTTTTGATGGATGCCTGCCATTCCTAATATATTAGAGCTCCTTCAGTTTCGTGTGATACTGTGCAATACCTCTAGAGTGGAATAGTTGCTTCAAACGCAAGCGCCGTGGCACGCTGCGGTGCGGCGGGCGGGCAGCCAGCGCGAAAAGCGCATTGGCGCCTACAAACCTAACAGGGATACTTCACGCGTTGCGCAACTTCACGCGTTGCGCAACTTCACGCGTTGCGCAATGCGTGAAGTATCCCTGTTAGGTTTGTAGGCGCCAGTGCGTCGCCGCTCCGCTTTGTGTTAGGCTCTAATATATTTTATCTGGCGGAGTCAGCGTTATTCAACTCATGATTTTGGAATGTTTGCACATCCTGTATGGATTATTCTCATTTTAATTGATGAAAAAAAAAATGTATTGAAGGATAATATAACTTGTGTTTTGTAAATATTGAGGTGGTTCCGTATCAAACTTAATGATTTCTAAAGCACACGAATTTCTACACAATTTCTTATAGCCTTTCATAATCGATGGCGAAAAAGCAACAGCCAGGCGACAAAGTGTAAAGCCCGGCTATAGGAACTATTGCCCGGCTGCATAATTTTTTATCGCTTCGTATCGCCCGGCCGTATGATTTTCTCCGCATTCTACAGCCAGCTATATGATTTTCTATAGCCTTCTTTAGCCGGCTATAAGAATTCCTATGGTATTTTGAAACGCAGCTCTTATCGCCAATTTTTACCAGGGGATGTATCGATTCTTGTTCAAGAGGAGATTGATTCAAGAGGAGGACAAGAATCGATTATTTAACATGGATTTAGATGGAGGAAATCCGGTGTTGCCAAATTGCTGAATCCGTCTCTGCTCTCCTTTTTCTCTGTATCTAAACGTCCAGCATTATCGTCCAGCTACGTTGCCGACAACATTTCCTCTGTTCTTCTCGCCGGACGAAGTTGATGGATTAAAACGTTGATTTTCAACGTTTTCGACGAAATTGTTTGTGACGTTTGTCAACGAAAATCAACGTTTTAGTTGATTGTCGGAGACCGTCGGACAGAAAACGAACATATCTCCTGAGTCTCGACGAATAATGTGAGGTCATCTCGGACGAGAATGACGAAGCTGACAATTAACTAGACGCGTTTCCTAATCATATTTTATGGGAAATGATAAGGAATCACAGTCACTTCAGCTCCCGTAGTTTTCGACGCCCCCACTCCATACATTGTATCTCATGTAGTGTTTAAATGGGGGCCTGTTCTTTTTTTTTTTTTTGCCTTCCTTTTTCTTTGTTTTTTTTCGATTTACGCGATAGTCAGATATTCTTCGTCAGTGAATCACAGAATATGTAGATTCTATCGTCACTATCGTGGTGTTTCCACGTGCCTGAACGTCCCATTGTATCGTTGAAAATATGACCGAATATGACTGGCGTCGATGGAGTTCAGGTTTATCTGTGTGGAGTTACCGATCTGGAATGAAACTCAAAATCCAGCGCGAAACTACGTATTTCCGTTCGCCACGTTGCAGACTTCCTATCACTCTTGAATTTTTCTTCGGAAAACTATCAACTGTATTTTCTTGAAAACTTCTTTGTTTTTTCTTCTCGCTTGGCAGAACATTCTTTAAAAATTTTAAGCTGAAAAGTTAGCTTTTTTTTCCTGGCAAAGTGAAATGAGAGCGGAAATATTGAAATATCGCAGTGGAGATACGTGGTTTTGCACTTCGGCCATCGATATATTCACGCTGGAAACTCGATTGACAAGCCATTTAAACCTATGAAAAAATATCGATTATTAGGGCGCTTGCAACGTTCACCATAGTAATCGATTCTTTACTATAGCCTCAAACGGGATAATATCGATAGTCGATTATCACGCCTCGCCACTGGCCGAATCACATTTTTTAGAAGAGTAATTCTTGTCAAGTTTAGATAGAGCCATCGGAATTAGGTAATATGACGAAAAACGCTCTTCATTCAATTGTTCCTAAAAATTCTAAGTCGCAAGCGATTAGTACTTTGGGTTGCTTTTTCTCCAATCTAGATTATTTAAACTGCAAACTTCAAAGCGTCATAACTGCGGCTGGGTTTTATTTTTTTTAAGCGTTTATTTTGTAATGTTTATGACACACTCCTCTTATTAGTACCGGTACAACATTCTCAATCTTAAGTTCTTCCGCACTTCGGTGCCTTGTTTCGCGGACGATCTTCGATGTATATCGATCTCTCGGTATTTTAACTGAAAGCGCTCTACCTCCAACGAAAATCTCATAGTTACATCGTAGAGCTCGTAGTCGTAGAGCTCTACGAGACATAATATCCTCATGATCTTTTGCCTGTCGGGAGATAGTAATCTCTAGATGAACCCGATGTCTACAAATTATCGAATTCCATAACCCTGGTTTCGATTGTCGTGAGGCGGAGAGAGGGACCATTGGGTCATTCCATGTCGATTCAACAAAGAATATTTTCGACTATTTTTAATCTTCATGAAATTTCGTCTACTTCATAACCTTGCATAGAAACTACCAAGAACAAAGGAGGGGTTGCGATTTGGGCCGAAATCGGCCCCTCCACGGAATTGAGAAATTTTTGGATATATGGCAGTTGACGGTGCATATTTGACAGAAATAAACGAGTTTTGCCGATAATCACGTTTTTGGCTGCGAAAAAGGGGCCTAAACATGGCTCCGGAGCCGAAAATAGCTAGAATTTCGCGCTTTTCGCGGTTCTACCTCAGGTTTCGACCTGGGCCCAAAGGCGACGGGTGATGAGCTTCGAATAATATGGTGTCAAGGACACCTAGACACGTAACATACTTAAATATGATCAACCGTCACTTTAGGGCCCTACCTCAAAATCGAACTTTTCCAACTTTTTAGCCCGAAATAGCTGAAAATCCATGTTTTTGGCGGTTCTACCTCAGATTTCGACCTGGGCCCAAAGGCGACGGGTGATGAGCTTCGAATATGGTGTCAAGGACACCTAGACACGTAACATACTTGAATATGATCAACCGTCACCTTTGGGCCCAACCGGAGGGTAGCCAGATCCAGCTATATGTAACCACTCTATTTTTTAAATATAATAATCTCATTTCTTCGCCGTTATATGTTTCACCATCATCGAAAAATACCTCAAATTTTATCAAGTAATTTTCAGAAGTTTTTCACTATATTTCATTCATCACATATATTAATTTTTTTACTTTTTCCGTTTTTTTCATTTTTTCACTTTTTTACTTTTTTCATTTTCCCCCCTTTTTTCTATTTTTTATTCCCATTTAATTGTTTTATTTTGTTTCTTTTATCTCCTTGATTTGTGACGCAACTCTTCGTTTTCTTTTCGCAGTGCCTCAACAGAAAGGAGCCGTGCAAGCGGGTCAGATGAAGCCCCTGGTGGTGACGCCGCAAGACCCGCTGAGCCTCCCGAAAGCCCCGGCGAAGAACGCGACGCCGCCCTCGGCGACGGCCACGTCGACGCCGAGCCGGGCGGCGTCGGCCTCGCCCGCGCCCGCCCCGTCCGTGGCGCCCCTCGCCCCCATCCCCCTCACCGTCGCCCCTCCCGTCGTGCCCGAGATCTGCCTCCGCTGGGACTCCTACAACAAGAACATGCGGAACATGTTCCCTGTCCTCCTGTCCAACGAGCGCTTCTGCGACGTCACGCTTGCATGCGAGGGACGCAGCATCAAGTGCCATAAGGTAATGTCCCTTCTAGTAACGCCATTGAGAGGGAGCAGGGGATGGTTGCCCCCCTTCCTACGGGCTGATTATCGAAATTGATAGACAAAGCAATAAGAGGACAAAAGGAATATGGACGGTGAAACTATACCAAACCACGTATCTCGTTTGCGGTGTTTAAAAATCTACGCTCACATTTTATTTTTTTGAAGTAGACCAAATCAATATCATTCCTTGAAATTTTCACGGAATTTTCTCCGCACAAAGAGGAAAAATCACAGAAAATTTTCAAGACTGGATGTTAAGTAGTTTTTCATTTAAAAAATAAAGTATGACAGGAAGTCTGCGACGTCGCAAACCGAGATACGTGGTTTGGTAGTTTCACCATCGATATGGAGCGATCCCATTGGTTTAAATTGGTGGTTCCTATAGACTAAAGGAGAATATGATGGACTAACTACAGGGTCTCTCGTGGGTTTCCGTCAGTTACTCTATTTCCTCCTCTTTTGTCCATTGCAACCACACACTTCCACCAATAGGATCCTTCCATAACCCTTTTGTCTTCTTTGTCTATCGCTTTGTCCATCAATTTCAATATTCGGCCCGCTGGGTTTCAGAAGGCCCACAAAAATGAGGAAAATGCAGGGTTGCCACAGTCAGGGAAAAGCAGGAGTTGTCAGGGGATTTTAAAAAATCAGGGAAAACCTGGAAATGTCAGGAAAAATGAAAATGTCAAGGAATAATCGTCTCTAGAATTGTTGTTACTTTCTAGAATGGTTTCGAACAACAAATTTTGTGTGAAAACTATTCCAAATTATGTCTTTCTAACCATCTGGTATGTCTTCAATCGTCAGGGAATTCTACTAAAATGTGTTAGGGAACAGGGCCGGATTTACCTACTTACCGCCCATTGGCCGCCTGTATTTTGCCGCCCCTTTCTCATTCGTTTTGAAACATCAATAAAAACCATCAAGTGAACGTGCCGGAAGGGGTGGGGGCATAAGACACGTTTACCTACTCGTGTTGGATAAATTTTTTGCGAAAGCCCTGTCAGCACTACTGGCAAAATTGCACGAAACTTTGCGCGAAAATTAAGATCCGTAAGCTTATATATATGTGGACAAGGTCCTCCATTTATAAAAAATGAACCAAAAAATTATGAAAGAACAAACATAAGTGGGGTTTAATAATTTTAACTTCCGCCGCGCTGATTGCACTGTGATTGGCGCAATGCGTGAAGTATTCCTACAGTCTTGTAGGTGCTATACGTTTCACGCCAACCGCTCCTGACCGCACTGTGTTTGGTGCAATGGGTGAAGTATTCATGCAGTCTTGTAGGCGCTAATATGTGTTACATGCCGATCGCCGCGCCGAGGGCTTGTCTTTTTCATCTCAAGTCCTCGTCATCATTCCTCTCTGCGTTGAGCTCCAGGTCAAATTGCGTGTTTAATTTCCCTCTTTACTCTACTAATTGGACCGCGTTTAACAGAACGGAACCAAGCCACATCAGCTATTGCCAATTATTTTGACTGGGCAATTTAATTTTTTACGAGAAAACGTTTGTGCGGATCCCTTTGAAAATGTCAAGGAATTTGCTTCGTACTATGGAGAAAATTCACTGAAATTTGCACGAAAAACCGCACAACTGTTTTCATGTAAAAAATTTAATTAGCCGATTAAATTTGGCAATAGCGGATGTGGCTTGGTTCCTTTCTGTTTAACGCGGTCCAATTAAAGATGCTATTTCTTGTATCACCGAAAAACGACAAAATTAGAAATTACTATACTCTCAGGAAAGAGAGATTTCGTCTCCTTTTCTCATGGATAATTTTTTTTCTGAATCCGATTTTTTTATATCTACATGTAAAAAAAATTGTAAAATTTGCCGCCCCCTTAATCCGGCCCTGTTAGGGAAATCAAGAGAATGTCAGGAAAATTCATTTTCCAAACTTTGTGGCAACCCTGGAAATGGATGACAGAAAGAACAAGAATGAATGACAGGAAAGAATTGTCTCTGGGAAAGAAACAAGCTGTCTTCTCATTCTTTTTTTCCGGAAATGGATTCCAATTTTAGGGTGTTGCAGAGGCGTGAGGCAAGAAGCTCTCAATATTTCACTCTCTTTTAACCAGAAAAATAATAAAAAGCAATAAATAAATGAGTAAATAAAAGTTAGAATGGTAATGAATAAATGTGTAATTTTTTAGTTTTACCTTAATTGTAAAGGAATTTTTGTTGCAGTTCATGCTCTCGGCTTGTTCTCCATACTTCGATCAGTTGTTGGGAGACAACCCATGCCGCCATCCAATCGTACTGCTAAAAGACCTTCAGTTCTGGGAGGTTCAAGCAATTTTAGACTTTATCTACAAGGGTGAGGTGCGAGTTCGTCAAAATAAGCTGCCGCAGCTTCTAGCTGCAGCCAGTTGCCTGCAGATCAAAGGTACCTAGAGTCATTTCTCATCTTTACCTATTGGTAACAAGTAGGACACATATTGATCTGTTCAGTTTCCAGTTGTAAATCTGAAGGGTGCTGTCAAACTGTTTTTTGCGCACGGGTCCAAATCGAAAATCAAATCTTTCAATCAAGTTATCTTTCCGAGAGCATAAAAAAAGTTTTCTTGTCTCTTCTTCTGTATGAGGTAATTTTTCTCTTTGTGATACCTGAGAGAAGACACTTTATTTTTTCATGAGTCAAAAATGACATTTTGACACCACAGTGCACGGTATATGTATTATCAAGGGACGTATCAAGGGATGTATTATCAAACGATTTGGAACAGTAAGCACTTACAACCATTGACTCAAGCCAAAATTTTGATTGTACTAAGTAAGACTCCGAAATATCTACACTGGACCTTTTTAAATTAAATTGTAGGTATTTGTGAACATTTTTTTGGTGCCAAAATGAATTTTAATCAGTTCTCAATTATTACTTTGGTGGAAAGAAAAGGATGCTTCCCTTATCTAAATTGCAATTTTATTAAATGGTGTTCTTTAGAAATTTTGGGTGAGAAATCAAGGTTCATCTTGTGGCAGAGCTTGACTTTCAACTATATTGTTATTTTTGATTACCCATAACAATGTTTCTGCAGGTGAAATGAACAATTTGTCATTCTCTGTATGAAGGAGCGTATCCTGTTTGTGCTGTTTCAGTATCTCTTACTTACCTTTGATTTGTTTATGGGAAAACCATCACACGAATCTTCTGGAAATCTCTAGTGATTTCTGTTTACTATTGAGAGAAAATACTTCAAAATTTCCAGACCAACGTTTGCGATGGTTTGCCCATTTAAAAATTTTTTCGTGGAAATACCGAATGAGCACAGACAAAATATGTTTCTGTGTGCGACAAGCAACGAATTTGATATTTTCAGAGTTCTCGACATTCTTGGCGGACCCTGAAAGTGAGGTGGAAATATTGATCATCGTGTTTTGTACGCTTTGTCAGATAAAAAGCAAGTATGAAGTACAAGAAGCAACTCTTCCATCTTTTTATCGAGGTCAGCTAAGAAATTTAGTGAAAACTTTATTGAAAATTATATACTCTTTATTAACAGAACTCTAAAACAAAAGCTTCCGATTGATATAAAGAGTGCTTTTAAATTATGTTTGACAGACATAATTTTTCTGCGGCCCTTTCATCCCTTTATTGTCATTTAAGTACAATAATCATACATTCACTTTAATCTATTTCAGGTTTGTCTGAAACTGTTGCCTCATCACCAACTCCAAATGAAAATTGTGATAAGAATACCAGAAATGATAGAAACGATAAGAATGACAATAACTCAGCTGGATTAGTCAAACCTACCTCTCACAAAGAGCTCAAGGGTGCGCAGAAAAGGAAGTCACCACCAACCTGTTCCTCTGATTCCATGGTAAGAGCGTAAATTATTTCATACTAAGGTGTCCCAACTCATGAAATAGTGAATTTTTTAACTTTGAATTAATACAGTAAAAGCTCGTTAAGACGAAAATCCGCTTAAGACGAAATTTTTCTCGGTCCCTTGACACTTCCATAAGAGTCAATGTAAAAAAAATACGGATCAGACGAAATTTCGAAATTTTGACCCGTAACCAAACCCGGTTAAGACGAAGAAAAATTTCCGATTTTTTTCCCTGAAATTGGGTAAAAACGACAAAAAAGAGCCAATTCCTAGGGAAAATAGACTTAGTTTTACGCACCTTGACATAAAAAGAGTAGGTTGAGAGTAGATCGTGGGTATCTTCTGTTTTGCTGGATGGCTGAAATGCAATCGACAATTGACGATAAACCGATTTGCGTATTTTAAAAAAATTCAAAATTTTGATTTCGTAGTGTACAAAATTTAAAAATTTAAAACTGCTTCCAAATTTTGGCTTATGCCGAAAAATTTCGTCTTAAGCGCAGTTGCCGCTTTAGCCGAAAAATTTTGTCTTAAGCGGACAACGGTTAAGACAAAAAGCTGCTTATGACGAAATTTTTTTCGGTCCCTTCATTTTTCGTCTTAACGAGCTTTTACTGTACTGTAATGCGAAAGACAAAATCAAGAAATCTTAAAAAAAAACACAAATTCAAAGTCAATAGAAAGTTAGTTTAGTAGACAAGTTGGATGAAACAATTAACATGTACCGCACACTCATTTAATTGAAATATTATTCAATGTAATAACAGCATTTCTAAATAGAGACTTTTTATTTTCTTTCAGTCTTTTACTGTGAGAAAGTAGGTTGGGATGTAGCTCATCCAAATCTTAAGTTTTGCAACAACCTATTGTTTCTATTTTAAGAGAACCATGCACAAAAAATTTCAACCCACAAATTTTCAGAGGTTGCAAAAACACATCCAAGTTCCAGAAAAAATCATATCAGCTCATAAAAAGGGAAACAAACTGTGCAGTTACACTATTTTGCAGGCCAATCAAGGTCAAAAAATTCCAATAATTTCATTTATTTTTAAAATTCGCACTATTCTACCAACCTGTTACTTCAAGACTTTTGGCGTTTTTTTCTTCCTTTTGAAGTAATTTTTTCAAATTTTCAAACTATATCTGATTTTCAGGCGTCAACTTCAGTCGATGACAGTGATTCCGAGTCTGAAGCCGATGAGCAATCCCGGCTAATAGTGGTCAGAAACAGTATTGATGAGGCCGATTCAACTTCGTCAGGAATACCAACCACAAATGGGACCATAATAAAGAAAATCAAGTTAGAGCATCCCTCTTCAGCTAGTTGTAGTGATTCCAAAGTGAGTAACAATATTCCTTTCCGAATATTTCTTTTTCAAAATAATGATTCAAAGGGACGAATACCCAAAAACTGATGTTGAGGTTTCATCAAATCTAGAGTGGCTGTCAATGAACAACATTGATGAATACTATAGTCCAAGAGCCAGACGGAATTTAGTGATAAACTCTTGATACAAGTTTTGACCTCCTAAATCGATAGCCTTAGATGTACTGACTTCAAAAATGGTCGTCTGCCACGCTGAAGTGTGTGCCAATACGTGGCAGACAATAATTTTCTGTGTTAACGAAGATTGAATTGGTCAAAAATTGTGCCACGATTTTGTTACTAAATATCGTCTGGCTCTTGGAGTACTATGGATGCAGAGTGAAAAACTGCAAAACCAGATATGGCATGAGCAAAAAAAGCACTGCGGCCCCATGTTTCCTTAGGCAGTTGATATAGCGTGCCGTACAAACAGCTGAAATCCACCAATATACTGCACCCTGCACCACTGACTATCTGATCTGATGGAGAAATAATGAGGAGTGCGTAGAAAGCTAACAGCCTCTTTGGTGTTTTTCTCCTTTATTTTTCTATACACAGGTCATCAGCGGTGAACATAATGTAATGTAAGAGGGCTCTCGGATGTCTCTGACTTTCTAATAACCCTTTTATTCACATTTTTTTTTTGTAATGCAAGTAACTGCAACATTAAATGATACGTTGAAAGTTTTTCAAGGAAACATGAAGGATTCGATTTTACTATCTTTTGTATTGTGACTGCAGATTTTGTTTAATGGCTACCTGAGGTAAAATGAAGCATCCAGTAGCCATGAGTAACTTTCAGCAATAAATGACTGATGACGATTTAAAAAGTTCTTAGCTGTGTGCGCAGTACCTGCACCATTCATAGGGTTATTAATACTCAAAATTGATTTTAAGTTGAATACTTGCTTTTGCTCCTCCAAGCTGAGTGAAATTGTGGCGTTGGGTGCAGAACGGGCATTTCTTGGTTGCGGTGTTTCAGAATCTCTACCTTTAATTTTTATTTTAGAGAGGAAACTGTCGGGTGAATTTTCTGAAATTTTTCGTTTTTGGCATTGTAAAAGCATTAAGAAAATTCAGTAAAAGTTTCAACGAATTCCATACATTTGCTTCAATTATAATAGATGAAACATTAGCAAAGATTCTGAGACACTGCAATCAAGAACTTCCCTTTGTGCACCCAGCGCTTCAATTATGAGTACCCAAACCCAAGTGTGAAAGCATTAACAGGAATGAAATAGATCCGCACAACAGACATCATTTTTCATTCTGGAAAAAAAGCAAGCTAATTATAAAAAGTTCAAAATTTCCATAAATGAATCAAAGATGACCTTTTCTCATGGATGACAAACAATAGCTTTGTTTTCAACGACTTTTGCTTTGTTCTACAGGATCAAAAGAACTGTGTTACCGAACCTGCAAATCCAGGAATCTCAGTGAAGAAAAAAACTGGAAACCCACCGAATTTAATAAAAATTGAACATCCAAGTAAGTTTCCTATAATGTGTCTGTAACTAATCACCACCCTGAAAATCATTACCAATCATGATGCAGTTTGAAAATAAAAACTCAGTAACTACACTTTTTATCTGAGATTTTACTGAACCAGAACGGTAGCCTGATTATTGAAATTGTGAGATTTCAGGAGATGTCTTTCTCCCTTCTAAGTTCCTTTGGTTTGAAAGGGTCAACAGACTTTTACTTTGATGGAAAAAGTTGTTAAAAGATAAAAAGAAATTACACCGAAGTTACATGCTAACTTGTATATGGCCAGGGGTGCAGAATGTTCCCGAACTAGCGACCGATCGGTCGCTCGACCAATGTGTAGGCTGTGGAAAAATAGAAAAATTGTGTAGGCTTTTTTTTTTGTTAATAATTTGTTGAATTCTGGAGAAAGTTATTGTAGAAGTATTGAATTTTTGAGAAAATGACTGTGGAAACATCGAATTTGAAGAAGAATATTGCGACCGCATTGTATTTTAAAAAAATTACTGCGACTGCGTAATGCAATCGTGTGTAGGCCAAATCCCTAGTTGCTCAAAATTGTGCAGGCCGAGGAACTTTCTGCACCCCTGTATATCGCTTGAACTCAAAAATCTTGTTCTATTAACTTGGTCCTGCAGGAACTATGGATTCTTAACAGTGGAGTAAAAATGAGGCCCTGGCCTCAAGTTGTTCCCACTTGAATACAGCCTTGAAAAACGAAAAAAAATCCTATCATAAGATGTTCATAGCAGCACGTTGTATTTGACATTTTCACCACAAAGCTAGTCAGTTCCGTTTCTTTGTTGGTTGCTCTAGGCCAAAACTGTCCCAGTGACTGGCGTTTTAAAAGCATACCGATTATAATTTGTTTCAGCAATAATTCAAATATTGCAAAAACAAATGATGATTAGTACAGTTTCTTCCAACCACAGCCTAATCTCCTGTTTTATCTTATAATTCAATTATTAAAATTTGTCCTGTTGTGTTTTATTTTTTAGTAATCACCAAACAAGAGCCGCCAGAGGATTACGAAAACGAATGGAAGGACGATGGAAGTTCATCGCCGAGTTATTACCCTGATTATCCCGAAGCCATCGTTGATACTGTCCTCACAGAAGAAGATGCTAGCAACCAATGAAAGTCTCTAGTCGTAGCTTTTGTACTTTTTACTGTGATCAATCAAATCTGGTCCCTTCATTGCAACCTTTCTTTGATTACCGAAGAATATCTGCCACAGGTGTTACCATTTTTTCTCAATTCTTGTAAGAAAATGTCAATAATCAAGAATTGATAATTTCTCTGTAACTATATCTGCATATTAATGAAATTAATTTGAGTGTTTGTATCATATTTATGGCGTACTTTAAAAAATTGTTGTATTATGCAGAGGATAAGCAAGAATGCTTAAGTTTTATGCCTAGACGAAAAGTGTTAACCCTCTTTCTAAGATGAGCCAGGAATAGTATTGATTTATATGGACTTAAGAGCTCATCGCAAAGTGTGGTTATGTCATTATGCCAGTGAGCGATGATATAGCTGTTTGAAGCTATTCAAAATATTGCAAAACGGGATTTAAGATTAAGGTATATCTTGCTTATTCTTTTTAGTTATCTCTCAATCCGTGGAAAAGTCTTCATTTTTACACCGGTAAATGACAAGATAATGGTAGAAGTACAAGGGGAAACCCACAGGTTGATTTAAAATTGATTTTAAAAATGGACCAAGAATGAAAAGTCATACAGCTGCATATGACAAAATTAAAAGTCCAGAAAAAATCCGTCTGATCACCTTTCCATCCGAGAGTACCTAGTGTGATAGAGAAACTCATCATTATTTGGTATTAGCCCAAAATTGCATCATTCTGTCTGTATCCCAGGTTATATGCATTTTTTTAAATTTCATATTTGATGTGGCCGCTTCAATCATTACTATTTCATGAGCCAATATCAGGAATGAGACTGCATTTCTTAAAGGATTATCATTCAGATGAGTATAGGAATTCATTCAATTTCAAAACAGTTCCAAGTTTCAGGATGGTTTTCAAGTTTTAATCAAATGATTTGAAAGGAATTGAATTCAGCAGTAAATTAAGGACTTTTGAGGTCAGAGCGTCTAAATATGAAGGCCACCGTTCAGGTAAATAAGCCAGTGATTATGAAATGGTTTTTACTGCAATGAAATGTTCTGTTAATTAGATCTCAAATTTTGATCGAGCATTTTCAAGTACATTAGCTGCTCTGCGTATTCATATTTTCCTCTTTCAGTTTATTCAACTAAAACTCAAAAATGTCATTAAATCAAATTTATTTACCACATCTATCGAGATTATACCTGAATTTAATTTTAGCTCATACAAATGTGGATTTTCATATTGTTGCTCAGAAATGACTCGTTTGAAATCAGTTTGCTTTGTGGTTTATTATTCAAAGTTTCCCTGGAAATCAGTAGGTGAAAGTTCCAAATAATTGTATCTGGGGTGTTTATCACAGCGATTTATCGGTGGATGGAAATGAATGTTTTAAATGGAAATAGGTTTTTGAGTTTGGTGTCGGGGACTGCTCAGTCAAATCATTCGTAAAATGGAAGCACCTCTCCATGTCAGTCAACTTGAAAGAAAAGAATGTATTATTTCAGCCCTGAAAAAATTTTGTTTCCTCGCTAAGTTACCGACGCTCCTTGCCTTCTTCAACGGATCAAAAGTCGATCTCACCGTTTGATGAAATTGTATAGAGTGATTTCTTGTCGATCTGCCGTAACCTTCTGGTCTTTGTATGACTTATTTATAAAGTCTCCAATCCTTTTGTTGTATATTTTCATTTGTGTGTCACTTTTTTTATTTTTACCTTTTTTCACCTGCAATTCACAAATTGATGTGTTTGCATACTATTAGCTCTAATTTGTATTATTTTGTGATAAGTAAAGTCTCACTTAAGTTCTCTCAGCACAGTCAAGAAAAATTCATAAGTTTGTCATCGGTACCAAAGTTTTCCTTAATATATCTCAAGTCATGAGGAACATGCAACATTGTGAACATTCAGTTCCTCTCTCTCATTTAAAAGTTGTGTGCCTAATTTTAATTTAGATCGTGTGTTTCATTGTAATTTTATTTTCTTTTTCTTTTTTTCATAAGTTTTTCAGCGCTTGTTGATGAATTATTACAAATGTAAAATTCAGTCATTCATGTAGATTTAGCCAAATTTAAAGTTACCGATGTGCTTTTTCTATTCAAATACAGTATTTTTCTGGTCTTAGTTTTATTATTGTCAGTTGGCAAAGTGTGTTGAATAAAATTTTATTCTATTTTATAATACTGGTCAGTTTTATTATTTTTAAGCCCTCATCTGTTCGATTTCATATTTTAATTTGATGTCCGCACAATGGAACTAAGCTTGTAAGGAATACATAAAAAAAGTTAGGGGTGCAGAAACTTCTAAACCATGTAATCAGCTTGATTGCTTGGAATAGAAAGTCCTGCGAGACCCGTAGAAATGGAGGGAAAACGTTCGATTTCTCTCACATCTTATGAAATATGTGCAGGATTCTTTGTGGGTTAAAAAGGTTTTTGTCGGAGTAAAGAGGGAAATTTTATTTAATCTTTAGGGTGGAGTAATTATCATGTCCATAAAAATGAGGAAAAACTAACTTATTTTTGGACTTCCAGAGCACCCGTGACGATCTTTTTCTCGGAAACGGCCAAGAATTGAGCTTTGGGACGAAAATTTCCTCTAGGTAAATTGTCCCCAAAAAAATTCAATGAAAATATTTTCAGTCCCCCAAAATCCCATGTTGGGGGGGGATTTGAAGGGGGGTATCCCTTGTATTAGGGAGGGTATGTTTTGACTTCGGATTTAAAGTTATGGCCAAAAATAAGAATGCTTTGTTCTATACCTTTATTCCATTGACCCCCACCCTTTGGAGTTATTGGGTATTTTGGGGCATTGCGTCAAAATCCAAAAGTCTCCTAAGAGGAGAGATCAGTACCTTTTTGGTGATGTGTCACATGACTCCTGTTGACCCAGAACCATGGGGACCCTGACTCCCCGAAAATTTTGGGGCCTCGGAGAAAAGAAGCAATTTAAAATATCGTGATAATAATAAAACATATTCAAAATAATGTTTCAAATCGTTCAATTATTTATATTCTGGCACAATAAATAATGTGTGCACGAGAAATTGTTATTAATAGCATCAGTCAGCATGCGCGCAACTCGAAGCAGTCGCGTCAATTCAAACTTCGCGCTACTCGAGGTGCCACTAGTACGTCATCAACATGGCGCCGAAATTGGTGTTCAGTTTGACCCCTGCCCCCTCCATCTATACCTGATACCATGTGACGTCAAAAGGGTACGAAATGCGTCCACCATTCTTTATCCGCCTTCTTGAGACGAATTTCACTTTATCAGCGCAATTGGTCTTCAGCAGTGCAATCTTGAACGATTTTATTTTTTTAGTGTTTATTGTGAAAGCTATTTATTAATCAAAATGTAAAAATGGCTCAAGCACAGTGTTTTTGTTTTTTACGTTTTTTATCAGCGTGATTGTTTTTAATTGTTAAAATCCTGTTCATCTAAAAGAAATGATCGATTTAGTCAGTCACCTGGCTAATAATTATAAGCCCAACAATGAATGCAAGGTCCCAAACTTTTGAACTGGTAAGTATGGGATTAGTTTCCCTTTTCATCCAGAATAATTCACAAGCTAAGGTTTTCCAGTGTTGAATTTAGCCACGAGTCTTTTGTGTCCTAGGAGATCCTGTTTCACAATTCCAAGGTTCTAGGTTATCTGGAAGGAATATTCTAAAATAATGACTAATCAAATTTTGTACATTTGAAGAAGTTACTTTTTTCCTAGCAGCCTTCTTAATTTTTCTCAGCTCTTCAGCCCCTCTCGATACTCCAAGGATCTGCCCACTCTTTTTGTTTTTCGACTGGTGAATTGAGATTGAATCTGTACCTCAGTCTGTTCAGAACCTCCGATCCTCAAGATTCCTTCATACTTCGATTTACATGTTCACTATATTCAATATATTCTTGCGTTTCCCAATCTTACTTGAATTTTAACCCTCTTGCCTCCTTATACACACAGTACTTTCCGGTGCTGAGTGAGGGAAACAAGTTTCCAACATCTGCGAGTCCCTGAAATATCGGAGGTTAAGGAATGCGGATTCTTTGTTTTTGAGTGCTCAGCTGACTGATGCAATAGAATGACATCATCAATTTGTTTTCCCTCCATGAGGCAAATCGAGGAAATTGAAAATTTCTAAACAAGGGGCCAGACTAACAAGGAGACGGCCTTCTCCACCGTTTGAACCAATGGAAAATTTCTCTATTGTCTTCAAGACATGTATCATTTCCCTTGTCTTTCATCAGTTCGATTTTTCTTTCATGTATTTGTAGTTCCCAACACTGCTGAGGTATGTGTTTCTAGTCACACCATTGTCCTACACTCTGCAATGTCTCAAATTTTGTGTCGTTTTATTTTCAACTTGGGTAAATTTTTTTGAAGGGAAACCAATCAAGATCATTTGAAGAACCCTGTGTATGATTTTGTTTTTCGACTCCAAGATTTTCCTGTGATAATTGTGTTGATAAAAGGTTGGTTTCCAGTGGAAAAATGAGGTATAGGTGGAATTTTTGAATCATCATATACTAGTTTTGATTTTTTAATTTTTTACAAAACATCAGCTACTTACTTTTGGAGTACAATGAAATAATTTGGTGTGTCTTTACAGACTGTTGAAGGTCACCAAGTGGATGAAGCAGTGGCGAGTATTTTCCACACAGTATTGTTCCACCGCTCGCTAGGAAAATTCTGTTACAAGCAAGAAGGTCACTACTCCATCGGAACTGTTGGTTATGAAGATGTGGACTGTGATTTCATCGATTTTACTTACGTAAGTACCAGAGGAAACGCTTACTCTGATGATTTAGAACAAAAATGATTTAAAACAAAAATTTTAACTTAACTTTCTTTTTCTCAATTTTTGCTGTGTTACAAAGAAGTCTCCTTTTCCTTCAACAAAGTATGATTTAGCCAGCACCTACAGCTAGGATTTAAAAATTAATCTGAGGGGAAACTCAATGGGAGAAAGCAGGGATTTCTCTTCTTTCTGCGCTGAGACCATTTTTATTTAAACTTCCCTGTCCATGTTGGCTCAGTGTTTAAGGTGGTTTGATGGACACCATATTTTGAGTCAGAACGACATGCGACATATCGCATGGATTAGTTGCAATTTTTCAGCTACTCATCATTTTTCTTGAATTTTAAGATGGCAATTCTGTTGTCAGGAGACTAAAGAATTCACTCACCAATTTTGACAAACAAATTCAATGTAATGAAGACGTCGTTTTTTTAGAGGAAAAATGTCGCATTCGAGTGCAGTTTCGATATCAGTATCAAATGCAATATTTTTCCTCTAACAAAACCACGCCTTTATTATGTTGAATTTGTTTGTCAAAATTTGTAAGTGTATTCTTTAGTCTCCTAACGACAGAATTGAGAAAATTGTCTCAAAATTTGAGTAGCTGAAAATTTAGAACTAATTGATGCGATATATCGCATACCGTTCTGACACAGAATATGGTGTCCATCGAATCATCTTAAAATAGATGACATTAATTTTCCCTCCATAAGTTTCGAAGGAAAAAATAAAAATCTGATCAACACTAATTGTTCAGCAATGGTAATTCTGTTGCCAAATGGTTCACTTTGATAATGCATCTATCATCAAGCATCAAGGGGCAAAGACATTTAAGAACATGAGACTCCACATTGAAGAGCCATTATGCTTTTAATGTCAACCGGAAATTTTCTTATTTCTTTTCCTTTCAAGTACAAACAATTTCACAAATATTGCTGAGAACATATTTTTATGGCCTTGATTTTTCATAAGCTGAGAAGAACACTAAAAGGAAGGACTATGCACATGTTACTGAAAAATTAGGCACATGCTAAATATCAAGATTTATTTTCTATATGATGCCTCTTTCAATCCTTGAGTAGAATGAGCTACTAATTTTGAATAAGTGTATTTTTCCGCAATTTGACCTGCATTATCAAGTGGAAAAATGTAGATGATCAAGAAGTGAGCTGCTCTTTCCTGGTCTTGCACTGGCCAGGGTTATAACTTGGACAAAGGAATTTTTATTTTAAGTAGTTTATAGAGCAGACATTGAAATTTTTGCCTTTGTTCTTTGTTTTGCGCAGTCAATCTGAATTTTGTTCTCAATTTTAGGATTTCTTTCAGTTTATTTGAACAATTATGTGTGATCCTTAAGCTGAGGATTGCTGCACTGAACAGCTTTTATCCAGTTCTGATCGGAACCACAATTACTGTATGGAAAAAGCAAGTATCCTCACAAAAGATGAACTTAAGCCTTTTTTATTATGAAATCCTGCAGTATTGCCTTCTCAGTTTTTTATAATTTTTTCTTGAATTGATTATTTACAGGTATGTTGCTCATCCTACTACCTTGATCGCACACTGAAACGCGAAATTTCAGGCTTTTCAGAAGCTTTACGAGGGAACGATGGTCCAGGCTCCGGACAAATTTCCTTGGAGTTCTTTCAAAAGAAGAAAACTAGGTGGCCTTTTCAACCTGAATGCATACCATGGGAAGTTTGGAACGTCAGATTAGAACTAATCAAACTCAATAATGAGCATGGTAAGTATTTTCGGACAATTCTGTATCATATTTTTTCCAAAAGGTTCAGCAAAGTATTCTAGGATTTCTTCCAGGATCCAACCAGCTACATCTGCTGATTGCCTCATTTTTCTCCGATCTATAATTTTTTGGCTATCTTTAATGAATTTTTTCTGACAAAAATTCAATTTGAGTCCTTAGTTTTCAGTATCAATGGTTTGGCTAGAGGTTCATGTAATACCTATTAAGTAATGGGATCCTCGCAATCTTGTCCAAATGTCTCTTACTGTTTATCTCTGATTTGTGCCCTTGAAGGCTGAAAATTTTAAACGCTCCTCAAAATCTGTCCAATGTAATATTCTCTCCAATTTGCCGCCAGCACAGAGACGTCAATACTCATAAGGAACTCTCAGGGATATTTCAAATGAAAGCAATTTAAACGTGCATCTTAAAATTTGTTCATGCCCAAGTCTCTCATTTTCATGAACAATTAAATTGTTTTTGCTGATTTTTAGGGGTGATTTTTATCCTCGTATTATTTGTTTCCTTGCCATAATATTGAATTGGTATGCACTTCGAAGACTCTTTGTCTTTCTTGAACTTCCCACGAAACTGTATTATGTAAAGTAAGTTATGACAGAAACATCATTCAATCACAAAACTTCTCTCATCAAGTTAGCTGTTTTTTTTCCTTTTTTGCAGAGAGGCAGCTATGTCGAGAAAAGGTGGGTGACCTTCTCACTGAAAAAATCTTATATGTAGCAGAAATAATGAACAGGCATGAATATGTTCCAACAATGCCTAGTCAATCAGATCTCGATTTAATTTTTGACACAACGTATCCTGATATACAACCTTATTTATTTAAGGTACGTTTTTCTCTTGTTTCGTTTAATGTTAAGAGCTTCCACAATCCATTTTGAGGGACAGAATACTAAAGACTACCCATCCAAAATAAAAAAATCTAGAACATCGTAATGCAAAATTGAAAAGGGGATAACTTTTTATCTCTTGAAAATGCAGCCAATATCTTTATAATAAATATCCTATTAGCCCATTGACTTAAACTAACGGTTCCCAGCTGTCCGCCCTGCGCTGGGACGGATCTAAAGAGATGGCTCAGAGCTGTCCGTTAATTGTTTTCGTTATTTAAAGAAAAAAGAAATTATTTCATTTGAGTCCAAGCTGCGCTTCAAAACTATGTAAAACATTTTTACTCCCAATATTATTACGTAGATCATTATAGTTATGAAGTCCAGGTGCTGCCAACAGGCAATTACCCAAACCCTTATCATTTCTGATATCAATGAAGCGTTCATTGTCATTCTTTGTCTTATCAGAATTGAAATTGTGATAAGTCTTGTGAGGAGATGTAGCATGGAGAGCTGACCGATTATCTAACTCCTTTCATCTCACCCAAAAGTTGAAACCTATAAAATTTGGATGAGTGTTTTAAAATTTTGATGATCCAGTTTTCAATCCCTGAACATTATGATACAAAATAATAGGAGAAAGGGGCTTCAGAATGGCAAAAAGTTCTGAATATGCCAAGTCTCTTGACCACATCCGTGAAGCTATCATTGAAGTTCCTGCATTTCAACAAATCGAAATTTTAAGGACAAATTTGTCTATCCAAGGAATATAATTTTTTGTAAGGTGATTCGTTCTGGGTTCTTGGCGTGGTCAAACTGGCGTACAATATAGTCACATGGATTGAGTAAAAAATCTTGCAGATTTTGATTTTCTGGCTCAAAAAAGGATGAGAGCCCCTGCGCATGTGCGTAATGAATCATTCTCGACCAAAAAGAAATAGCAAAATTCAAAGAAATGAGAGCAGGATTCTTCTCGGAAAAAAGTGTTGCATTCAATGCTATTATTGACCTTTGTATTAAAAGCAACGTTTTTTTCCATGTATAATATTGCTCTTATTTCTCCAAATTTTTGTCATTTTTTGGTCTAGAATGATCCATTAGGACGTGTATAAGGACTATCGTCCTTTTTAAAGCTGAAAAGTCTAAATCAGCCAAGATTTTTTACTCAGTCCATGAGACATATCGCACGCCAGTTCAACCAAGAACTCAGAACGATTCAACGGCAACTGCTGGCCTTTGACAAGTCAGTTATTAAGATTCTTCGATCAGGTTCCTCTGCTTTAAAATTTTATTTGTCAAATCTTCATTTGAGATTGAATAATAATTGTGTCAATTTTTGAACTCACCTGCAGGAAAATTTATGTTAATTCAAACTTTTGAATCTCTTTTTCAGCTATCTTTCACAACATCAGAGCCTTCCAACACATCAGTAGGAACTACTATGAGGAAGTTGATTAAAGAAACCCTGTCAATTTAATTTTAACTGTGAATTTCGTCCAACGACGAGTTGTACACTTCTTATAAATAATTGTACAGTGCTTTCTGTATACATGTTTATACAAACCCCATTCAATGATCATTATCGACCAAACCGAAGACTTTAATTTTAAAATTGTAATCGGCTGAAATTGGATGAATCAACAAATTAGATATATCGATGTAATTTTACTTTTTTAATGATTTTTTTTCTTTTTTAAAATTTGGGCCATGTTTGTAACTTTCAATTTTTTCTGGTGCTATGCCTAAAAATTGACAAAGCCTCAACTCGTTTTCAAAGATAATTTTTTGCCCCTGGTAAAATCTCTCTAAATATTTCAGAAATTTGTTCATGTTGACAAAATAGGTTTGTGTAGTGTGCACCTCTGAAAATACTCACCATCCAACAAAAGATTCCATAAAAAACAATGAAATGTTCGAAAATCATGAAAAAAATTTAAATCTTCTGCAAGAGAAGAACCATTCAAAATAAAAAACTTTCCCACCTTGAATCAGTGCCTGCCATCCTGGCGAGGCCGAAATTTATTCAAATGCTGTACTTACAAATATTTCCTATGGCATTGACCATTTTATGACAGCACTCATAGGATTTTTTTTTTTCTTTTTAAGTAGAGAGACATTTTTTCTGTTAAGAGTCAAAAACAATCTTTATAGAAGCTCTACTACATGATACTAAATTGTCAATGAAAAGACAAAAAAATATGAAGAAAAACAACAACCTAGAAATAGCGTTGTACCATATTGCAGGTACTGATTCCTTTAAAATCAGAGTTTTTATCATTACGAGAAGATACTTAAAAACACAGTAACTACAGAACTCTTCCCACAAGATGTCTCTCTTCCCTGCAGAAAGGTTTCATGCAGACCTCCTCTGGTCCGAAAATATAAATGTGGACCTTTTACCGAATTCGATAACAAAGTCTGTTAGTCATGGAGGGAAAGAGTTATATGTTGAAGGCATGAAAGTAATTAACTTACCTATTGTTTAGTTTAAGAGCCTTCAAAGGAAATAAAACTCTAAGAAACCCATTGTTGTGATTAATGCTGGTACAGTCAACACATTTTTCTTCGTATTTCATAGAGGATGTTTCTATCATTACAGTACTATTTTAAAATGCTTCCCACTTTTAACCGACTTTCGCATCAATCTTTCTACTGCTTGTATCTGCATTTTTTTTCGAACCAAATAAATTATAAAGTCGGGCAATCGTGACTTAAAAGGATAACTTACTTTGATCATTCATCTCTCTTCAAGGTGAATCCAGGCATTATTTTAGTATCTGTGACAGGCCACAGGAAAAAAAAACCTTAGTATGTACATTAAATAATGTATATCTCAAGCTGTTTTTGCTGAGCCGAGAAATCAAAATTTTGGAAAGCTCTTGAATATTGCAAAGCACATGTTATTAGTGATTTCGTTCATTTTTGTGCCAATAGAGGGCATGTATTTCATTGAAACTAGGCAGTGTTGAGACCTGAACGTAGGATATAAAACCTTGAATGGTTTTTTCTCGAAAGCAAGTTTTTTTAACCAGGAACTTCAAACGCTCATAACTTCAGCCTCACAGATCATTCTCCTGAGCCTGGCACTAATATTTTAATTCTGAGTTTTTCGACACCAAGGTCCTTTTTCCTACAGACAATCACTCATATCAGACTTAATTTGTCTTATAATTTTTTAATTTTAACTTTTCTCTCTCCTGGAGGAAAGGCAGGTCTTCAAAAAGATCATTCAAAATACAAGATCTTAATGGCCGAAAGTTGAATTTTAATGATGGCATAATTAGTTTCATCGATTGGTACAGCAGAGCCCTAATACCTGTCATATTTTTGCATTTATTTTTAGTTGCTTTGACCATAAAAAAATGTAAATATTGTTCTGAAGTATTCTGCCGGAACAAAAATCAGCCTCTACGAATCTGATTTTTTTAACATTTGAACTGCCACGCCAGTCCCTATGGGATTTGCTCTTATGGAAGCCATTCATAAAACATTTCTGCTCTCTAACATCGCATATCTTAACTTCACATTACACCCACATTCAAAAAATGACTGCTGCTCCGGAGCATTATCTGTCATACTTGCAAGTTTTTGCGCCTCTCAACTTTTGAAGTTATACCGTGATAGTTGATGTGTTAAAGTAACTCAACTCATATTGTTACCTGGCGGAGCAAATTTGATCTGCAGTGGAATACTGTTCAACTCTCTTATAGGAGTTTTCTAAAAACTTAGGCTGTTGAAACTTATCAATTGAATGCAAAAAAAAAAAAAAAAAAAAAAAAAATATATATACACTAAGGACACTGGTAAAAGCCTTTGTTAAATTAATCTTTGTATAGTAATATCAGACTTGTTCAAAGAAGCTGTGCAATATGTGCAATAGCCTCACCTCAGGCAAAGTCAAATCCTTCCAAGTATTTCAAATGAAGCACTGATTTGAACTTGGGACCGTTAACTCTCGTAATTTTCAAATTAAAAACTTAAAACTGCGATAAACTTGAGCTTCCACCATGTTCAAATACAACACCATTTATGAACCCATGTCCATACTTCCAGCAATTTTTTAACAATGCTCATTGGCAACTGAGAATATTAAAGTTAGATTGTGGCCCTTTTATGAAATGTGCTTTTATGTAAATACTGATGTTCTAATTAACTTTTATCATTATGATGTTGAAGATTTTAATTTTACAGCTCAGTTGGTCAAACATGTGTAATTGTAGTGTAGAGTCTTTATTTTATTTTTAATTTTTTTCATTTTTCAAATTTTTTGTTTTAATATTCAAAGGTTTAATTTGTAATTTTTCAGAAAATCTAGTGGTTAGACTTCTTTTCTCTCTGTCTTCATGTTAGTTGATTAATAAATGCCTGATTACTTTCCTATAATCGAGATTTTTATAATTTATTTTGCTAGAAATTGTAATGCTACCCGATGTTTTCAATGCTATGAAAATGGATCAATTGGTATTTAAGGATGGGATACCAGGAAAAAATATTAAAAACAACAGTCCAGTCCCTTCATTGAACATCTCATTTACAGTCAGACCCTGAATGTTGGTGTTTTTCAGGAAAAGAGGGACACACAAGTTGATACCACGATGAAAAAAATCTACTACTGGCCCCTCCTTTCCTGGTACTCTCATCAAAATAACACTCATACTCAGGGGTCATGAGTGAATAAGGTAATAAGGAGACCTATGCTGTGCCCTCCTTTTCTGGATTCAATCACGAGATACGGTGAGTTTTGTAAACGTGCTTTACAGCGCCTTCGCTACCACTTGCTGGTAAAAAGGAGAATTGCAAAATTTTCGAGGACAAAAAAAGTTATAATTTTACATTGATGTGTAAATCTTAAGATTTTATTTCCATTTTGTATAAAATAAATAACATTAATTTGTTCAAAGTGATAACAAGAAAAACTTGAAAAAATAAAATTGCAACAAAAAAAAATTGGAAGGTTTCACCAAAAGTAACAACAGAGCAAACCAAAACTGTTGATGATGATCACAATAATCAGTTAATGATAAAATCTCAGTTCTATTAAAAATAAACATTGGGATTTCAAAAAATATACATTTTTCTCTCACTTGCATTTATTATTTTACTTACTGAAAAAAGAGCTGTCGTTTCTTCATTCTCTAAAAATTACTGTTTTAGATCAAAATCAGAAACGGCTATCGCAAGACTTTTTCTACAGGACAGGAAATAATTACATTATTCCCTGCGGATGTAGAAATCATTGATGTCTTTTCCATTAACAATAATCAGTTGTGTAAAACATTTACACAGAAAACTTGATAACCTAAACTGATAAATTAAAAATAAATATTTTGTACAATTGTACACAAATTATATCAGACTATAGATTCTGCTCAACTTTGAGGTTCAGGTTTACTTATCGTTTCCAAATGCGATAATTTTCTTAGAACTTCAGATCTTTCACTAGCAGACAAAGTCTGGAACATTTCAACGACTGCATCTTGAGCAACATCTGGTGACTCCTAGAAAAATTAAAGCGAAAAATATATTAATTACTCGCGGTTTGGAGTACAAAAAAATACAATTCACACACACTCAGAGATTACGTAAATTTTTTGTACCACACCAATTATTTTCTAGTGAGAATAATTTACGGAATTTGAAGTGTGTTTAAATCCCAAAATGACCCTCAATTGCCAACACGTTCATACCTCCAATCTTACTCATGGAAGAAGAAGAAGAAAAAAAAAAGGCTACAGAAAACCTTCACTTAAAAACTCTGGGAGTTAAGAGACTTTCAGTTCATCTTCGTATTAAAATAAACATGGCTAAAATAATAATCAAAATTAATTCAAATTGAAATTTTTGTGCGCAATGACAAATAAATTAAACTTATTACGCCCCTTGGTTATATGTGTATTATCTTAAAAAAGAAAAAGTCAAACAATCTTTTGCTTAAAATCTTTTTCATCGATGAAAAATGATGGCAGAAAAAGGGAGAAAAAAGGGGAAAAAAGAAAAAAAATCATTTAAGTTGCAAGGAATAATTCAAAAAACTTTGCACTTACCTCCATCGATGTCTTAATTTGGTTGATAAGTGCATCTCTCTGAACACATCTGATATTGTTGGCAACAATAGAGTTTGGTGAGATTGAGCCATCTGGAGATAATTGACCCATCAACCATGACACAACAGATTCGTTATTTTCCCACAGATACGCCTGAAACATTATCATTCAGTGTAAAAAAATACCCTAAGTTATAGTGCACTAGTTATTCCTCATAGGAATATCAAGAATACTTTTTATGAGTTTTGTTTCACCAAAACTAGCAGAGCAAGTTATTATGAAACTGATAAAATCCTTAACATGCAGCAAAGCCGAATTACTTGGAATACCAGTGACGAATAAAGCTGTTCACTGAGTATTTCATCATTGCATGCTTTCACAAATCAAATATTTAATAAACTCTGTCTGTCAATACTTAGAGGATAGTCAATCAGTCAAAAAAAAAAAAAACCTGCACATTACACCTAGAAATGTGTTATTGTATGTGATGCTTGGTACAGCTTTCTGAAAATGTTAAACTTTAAAAATCAAGCTTTCTAGGTGCTGATTATTAGAAAAGCGGGGTGGCAAAAATAATTTATGATTACATGGAAGTGCTGCACTGCTGCTGTGTTGCATTTCAAAAGACGCTTACGTCCTCCAAATTGCTGTTTTCACTTGGGGAGGATCTCGGTTCTTTCCGGTAAAAGAGAGCAGGAATAAGAGGACTTTGCGTTCATCTTATCTCTCTTGGCTGGCAAGGAGAGGGAAGTTCTCCTTGACCACCTAACCGATGTTGCAACATATATCATAGAAAATTTGAAAATGCTAAAAAGTCAACTTTTCAGTCTCCTCTTCTCAAAATTGGCACATGATGCATCAACTGCAACTGCTTGAGGTTAGGGGTGTTCAAACGAATTCTTGCAGGAACACTATCGATATCGTCTCTTATTGAAACTGGCGGCAGTACTGACAGTGGCGATGATATCGTTAACAGCCGGCCTTATCGGATTTTTGAGAGCTCGCACTCAAGGCATTGTTGCCCCGTGCGACGGTTTATCAGATTGCCTGGCGCGGTGGCGCGTGAAATAGATGTACAAATGGCAACAGCTTATTTTCGTCAGCTCCAAAAACTCTGATCGCTATCGGCAAGAGCGATCTTATCGTAACTTTTTTTAACGGAACTGTTTCGGTAGCTCACCGACAACCGATAGAACAGCCCTACTTGAGGTATCATGTTTTCACCTTGATCACTTAGTAAAATTGTACTCTTGACAACCAAGTATCTTGAAAAACCTCCATTATGCAGTAGTAAAAATTAAACTTACAGTTGTGGTTCCAATATCTTCGACGAACCAGCGCCGTAACATTGCTTGAGCTTGACCGTCATCCATCTGAGGTTGCACTTTCAATAAATTACTCTTGATCTGGTTTTCTAGTAACAGACGCTTAACCCTCCAGTGAAGGATTGTTCGAGACTTCCTCCATGGAACGATGTCCTAGACAAGCAAAAAAAGACAGTTTGATGATTATTCATGGGGCTATTCCTTTTTGATTAGCTTTTGCAGAGTGATCGCATGGTTTCTAATTATGAGACTCATCATCGAGCTATTCAGAGAAACCCAAGGAATCTAGTGTAGGATAAATGCCCATGTCTTTACAGATGCAATCGCAATGGGAGAATCAATATAGAATATTGAGACTAGGAAAACACAATGACTTCTGAGTTTGCTGATGAAGATCGTCTGCTGAATAATTTTCCTTTTCCTGAGCTCAACCAGTCAACATTTTCAACGATTATTCAAAACTAATTCTTGAAGCAGAGATTGGTAAGCAGCATCTACTTATCACTGGAATTCACTAATTTTCATTAAATTTATTCCAAAAATTGGGCTGCTGCTCAGTAATTAAATTGAAAGTAATTTTCAGCATTTACTTAGAGAGGGGGATATTTTAGTTTTAAGATGTTGAGAACACCAATACACTAGAAAAGAATAGATCGCTACAAACAAATGAAAAACTAAAGGTTTCTCCTTTGGCTGGTATGCAGTCCAACCCTGGATAAATAACCTGGACCACTACTTGGACGTATTTCTACCAAACAGACCTATGTGGAGGTGAGAAATATGGGGTGTGCTCGTTAGTTCCCTGGCCGTAAGAGTGAATGAGAATAATAAAGCGCCAGTGACGTCAGCGGCAATGATCGAGACCACGCGCGAGGGGGAGCTCGTCGTCGGGGCGCTGTAACTCATGAGCCCTGTCCACAAGGCTCTCTTGCTATGCCCGCGGCTCATGAGTTCCGCATTCAGTTGCACATAGGTCTCTTTGATAGAATGCAATATCCCGCTTTTCCAATTCTTCAAAAGGAATCACGCCCACTTTTACATTGCTTCTTATGCAGCTTCCACGAGCACACCTCATATTTCTCATCTCCACATAGGTCTGTTTGGTAGAAATACGTCCACTTGGAAGTTTTGAAAACAGCTCATCTGGAGGTAGCCAAATATTATAAAAGTCTATTCGGTGGATCTCAAGCTATAACTGACAAAAGATGACCGTTGGAAAGTCAAAGAGCTTTTAGTGGATAATGAGTACTCACATGAATAACTCCCTTCTCAACCATTCTCTCTGGGGTGTCGTGCAAGTCAGCGAAATGTACAGCGACCTGGTGATACATGGGTTTCAAGTACTGTTCTCGCTCAACAATGCGACTCTCTACGTCTGCCTTTTCCTCCGGACTGATATCTGTACTGGACAGCCTCTGTTTAAGTGGAACTATCACTTGGTCAATTCTGTGCATTGTTTTCAGGATGTCTTTCTCTCTGAATTTGATTTCGACAATTCCTTCCGGCTCAAGCACACCTCCTCTGAAATCATAAGCACATGTGTGAGAATATTCCACATTTCATCGGAAAATGAATTTTAGCGCTTTAAACGTAAATGTTGCACATTAAGTACCGGTGTGTGAAGGATAATTATAAACACTTTTTGGCTTTAAAACCAACCATTAATCAATATCAATCCATTATTATCATTTTTCTGTGCAGCAATCTGCACGGAAAATGATGGCAATTTCAAGTTTCAAGATCAAAAACTAATTTTGAAGAGGTCTCCAAAATGCTTCTGGTTCCCAACAATATTACTAAAATAACCTTCTTTTTCTTTAGATTACATCATGATGTCCTTTTAAGGTGATTCGATGGGCGCCATATTCTGTATCAGAACAGCATACGATATGTAGCATCGATTAGTTCCATTCTTTCAGCTATTCATAATTTTTCTCGAATTTTGAGGTTGCAATTCTGTTGTCAGGAGACTAAGAAATTTACTCACCAATTTTGACAAACAAATTCAACGTAATAAAGGCGTCGTTTTTTTAGAGGAAAAATATTGCATTCGATACTGATATCGAAACTGCACTCGAATGCAATATTTTTCCTCTAAAAAAACGACGCCTTTATTACGCTGAATTTGTTTGTCAAAATTGGTGAGTAAATTTCTTAGTCTCCTGACAACAGAATTGCAATCTCAAAATTCGAGAAAAATGATGAAGAGCTGAAAAAATGCAACTAACCCATGCGATATATCTTACGTCATTGTGACACAAAATATGGCGTCCATCGAATCACCTTGACAAGCACCTTTTTTTTAAAACATTAACCATCATTGTTTTATGTATACACTGACGCTACAATACCTGTAACGTAAAATTGAAAACATAAGATAAATGAGGTTAAAAAATATTTTTAACTAGATCTGGGAAAAGGGACCTTATCTTTTGGGAGGGAATTTCCACTAACTCTTTGCAAATGTATGGAGAAAGAAAATCCGGAAATTTTCATACAAGTTCGAGAATGAAAACTTAAATATTAAAAGATAAATGAGTCATGGAGTTTCAAGACAACAATTTTTTGGTTGCAGAAAAGCAAGGCTCATGCTCTTGAAAAATTAGAGGAAAAATGCTTTTCCGGAGGATAAGGTCCCCTTTCCAAGATTGGATCAGATTTGTGTTTGTCAGGTGCCATGTTTATCTCAGGCTGTGCATTACTATACATATGGTGATCAATAGCAGTGGCGTTGACCGGAGACAATCTGCAGAATTGACTGCGCTGAAATGTCAGTGGGCAATTTGCACCCGGTCACACTACTCTGCTACAGGGACTATGCAAAGACAAAATTTGTAGATTTAGCGTTAATAACTCCAGAGAATAATGATACTGTTCAAGAGGGAGAACAAACAAGTGTTAATCTCATAGATTTACCTGCTTTCGGGATCGGCGTACATTTCCATATGTCTTGGGTTGATGGTTGGGTCAACGACGGCCCAGGCTCCTCCTCTCAACTCACCATTAGGAGGAATGTAGATTATGACCGGTTGTTTATAGACGCGCAACTCGTCCACGATGTAGGCACCGAATTTCATTACTTGTTCGTACATATCTGCAAAAACCAACGAATCCCATTTATTGGCAAGCAAAAAATGGTGGGGGTTCTTGAATGAATGATTACAGTTCACAGCCTCTCTCAGTAAAATAGCAGCAAAATTGAACAAAGAGTTCAAAATAATAAATAAAAAGAATCAATTTTTTAAGGAAATCAAATATTTTAGAGGAGGAAAATTGAATTAGAAACATTTAAAGAGAAATTCATGGTATATGATGGCTGTCTTTCCATAAATGAACATAAATCATTTTTCTGACACAAATCTAGCCATGCACTGCTCAACTACACAAAAAATCTTTGACCAAAAAAGCATCAAATAGATTATGAACCTTTAAAGTTTTGAAAGAAAAACTGTAATGTAATTTTTCATATCAATCTTTATGCGAGTCAAAAGGACAGTTAAATTCCTCTCAAAAGGAGCAGTATGTACTTGCCAAAAAGACCATGAGTCAACATATTCGTTATTTTCTTTACATCCTCATTTATAATAAGGTTACGATTTCCAAGATTATTTAATTTTAACAGCTTAATTTTTATAACAGCTTATCTAAAATAAATAAACTAGTCTCATACCTTTCATTCCTCCGGAGAAACCTCTCCAGTTTGCGAAGATGATGAGCGGCAAGTCTTCATGTTCGAAATCTTTGATGGCTTGAGCAGTTTTGTAGGCAGAATCAGGGAACCAAACTTGTCCAGCCTGAGATAAGGTTTTGGCTTCTGAATCCAAATTGGCCGGATCAGCAGGTAATTTCACTTCAACGGTCCTGGTTTCAACAGCAATGACTCCCATCGGAATACCACCGAGTCTTGCTCTACCGACAACGACCGTCTGAGCCCAAGGCTGCATGACTTCCTCCCAGGAACCCTCATCAAAGAAACCACTCTCCCATTCGTTGGAGTTGTTAGGCGAATAACGACCGGCCAACATCCATCTGGGATCGTAGGGTGTTTTTGTTGGCATGTATCCTACTTCACGATCGATGGGATCAGCTGGTTTTATGACAGGTACTGGAGACAATTTGTCCTTAGGAATGTAAGAAAGCCACTTAACAATACTATAAATGCCGTCTAAATCACGAGGCTCAGTTTTGTGAGATACACCATTGTTGTACATGATCTGGATACCTCCCAGCTGATTGTTCGAAGCGTAGACCTCACGACCTAACAACTTGTTCAAGGCACTGTAACCGGTAAGAATGATGTGTGAGTTTTCCACTTGGATGACTCTCTGACCCAAACGCACGAGGTAGGCACCAATACCAATGGCGCGGCAGGAGACCATTGAAATTGTTACGATTTCACGGTACGCTTCAGAGGTTTCACCAGCAATCATACCGGCATACCTCAAGTTTTCGACTCCTAAGCCGTCTTCTTTACCGATAATATCAGTAATCTTGTACCGGGCCTCTCCTTCATCTTCAATCAAGATAGCATGAACAGAGTTGCATGAGGAAATCTTCGTGAAATCTTCTGTTGACAGATACAGGTACTTGAAACCTTTGTCAGGTTCATCAGGATCTTCCCAGGCGACCCTGAATAAGCTCTTGACTTCTTCAGCTAGCCCAATACGAGCACCACTGTTAGCTGCGATGTAAATCCTTGGAATTTTCCTCTGTCGAGCGATTTTGGAGGCTAAATCAAAAACAAGATCTTCTTCAGGTCCAAAGGAACCAATCCTGACAGTGATATCGTTGGCAATGACGATGATATCTCTTCCGTCTGGGTATTCAGGGGTATTAAGAGTGATTCTCCACGCAACCATACCAACGTTATTTTCACCCGGTAGTCTTTTCTGTTCGACCAGATGATCTTCTTCCAATACTAACTCAGCAAAGTCCATCAGTTGAGCTGGTTTCACGATTCCATCATCAGGTCTTTGATCGATATGTTCTTTCCACTGTCTCTCAACCATCTGGCGGAACATATCCGGAATATCATGACAATAGGTAGTTCCTGCACTCTGAGCCTGGAACCGTTTCTGTTGAAGATAATCCTTCGTTACGTATGGAGTGGCAACTGGGAGTCCGTGCAGAGGTCCTTGTTTGGATCCATAAGATTCTAGCTTGATGATGCCTGTTTTGGGATCGACTACCTCTTTGTAGAGACAGATGTCAAGGTAGTAGCCGCTGTCGTTTGCAAGGCACAGTCTGACATTAGTTGTTTTGGCGTTGGGAGAAGCGCGGATTGTCATGCGAAGCTCTGCTTGAAGTACACGCAGTTTCCACAGTCTGGGACCATATCTCATAACCATATTTGTGACACTTTCCTCGATCTGAAAAATAAGAAATTATAGAAATTATTTATCAGCTTGTAAAAGCGACAGAATACTATCTTTATGAGGCATAAAAGGATTCCTACATAATCTTCACACTCAAATAGTTAATATCTTGAGAAAACTTTTTAGCAAGAAAAAATACCTTGACAAAAAAAAATAAAAATCTCAACAGTGCACCCTAGGTTGGCAAGAAATTAAGATCCAAAAATCACTCTCAATTTTACTTTCCCATATGATATACAACAATTTTAACCACTACAATTTTCATGGAAAAAAAGACCTTGGTGCCAAAAAACTCAATATTGAAAAAATCGTTACCAATTTGAGGAATGATTGACACAAATTTTAGAACAGAAAAATTTCTGATCCAACTGGATTTATAATAGATTGAAGTTTGCAGCTTACAAAATATAGTTTAGAACCAAAGCTGCTTAAATTTGTAATCTGCTCTATTTGGGACTCAAAATACAGGATTAAACAGCTTTATACAGGGTGGGCCAGAAGTTCCAGGACGGTCGGCTAACTTTTTAACGGTTCGAGATAGAAAAATGAAACTTTGGGAATGTTCCTATCTCAAAGGGGACCATCTTTTGAGGGAGTCAAAATTTTGGTCCCCCCTAAGGGCGGGGGCGGGGGGCCCCCAACTTTTTTTTTCAAATAGCAACCCCTATCTTGTGATACCTCATTCGAAAGACCATAAAAAACTAAGAATTTTGGCGCAAACCGCAGATCAATATCTACATTTTTTACCGAGTTATGATAGGATCAAAGGTCAACTTTGACCTATTTTCAAAAAATCACAACTCCAGTTCAAATTATCGTAAAGAAAAAAATAAAACGGAAAAATTTACTAATTGTGTTCGCTTTTTTGTAAAAATTGCATAAATCACTTCGAACTAATTTTAAGGGGGGGTTCGGACCCCCAAATACGTCAATTCAAAGGTCATTCAATTTTCCCGCGAAATAAGCCAATTTCCCCTAGATTTGCCTCCACATTATCTCAGTAAGGTCAAAATCAGTTCGACATTACGTTGGGCAAGTCCCCAAATTTCAGGAAAAGTTAAAAAAAACCCAATTTAAGGTAATTAAATTTGACCGTTTAAATTGGGTTTTTTTTTAACTTTTCCTGAAATTTGGGGACTTGCCCAACGTAATGTTGAACTGATTTTGACCGTACTGAGATAATGTGGAGGCAAATCTAGGGGAAATTGGCTTATTTCGCGGGAAAATTGAATGACCTTTGAATTGACGTATTTGGGGGTCCGAACCCCCCCTTAAAATTAGTTCGAAGTGATTTATGCAATTTTTACAAAAAAGCGAACACACTTAGTAAATTTTCCCGTTTTATTTTTTTCTTTACGATAATTTGAACCGGAGTTGTGATTTTTTGAAAATAGGTCAAAGTTGACCTTTGATCCTATCATAACTCGGTAAAAAATTTAGATATTGATCTGCGGTTTGCGCCAAAATTCTTAGTTTTTTATGGTCTTTTGAATGAAGTATCACATGATAGGGGTTGCTATTTGAAGAAAAAAAGTTGGGGGCCCCCCACCCCCCCCCTTAGGGGGGACCAAAATTTTGACTCCCTCAAAAGATGGTCCCCTTTGAGATAGGAACATTCCCAAAGTTTCATTTTTCTATCTCGAACCGTTAAAAAGTTAGCCGACCGTCCTGGAACTTCTGGCCCACCCTGTATAATTTGTTAATGCAAAAATGTACCATACTGTTCATGATTCATCGACTTATACTTCAGAAAATCAGAGATGATTTCCTTTCAAATACTTAAAATCCAAATATTCAACTGAATTAGAAAAAAGTTAATCTCTTGAAAAATGTTCCCCTCCAGGATGTCTAGCAATTTTCAACAAAAAATATTCCCTGACATTTCCCTGATTTCCCTGACAAAAATGGCTCAAAAAACCGGGAGAAAATTTAAAATTCCCTGACATGTCCCTGGCAAAAAGAAACAATATTCTTAATTTTTCGACGCGGTTGGACTGATTAGATGTAAAAAAGAATTTGTTCATGTTTTAAGAATATAATGTAATAAATAGAGCAAAATAAATGGTGCCTAAACTTATGCGAGATATTTTAGCATCAATTTTAAAATTTAAAAGATTTCAGCAGAAATTTTGGTAGCAATCTCCGCAGGGATAAAATTCGCAAAACATTTTCTGAAAAATCTGTGTTTTTTGATTTCTCTGGCAGGAAAATCGCTTGCAAAATAAAATTCCTTGACATTCCGAATTTTTGCGGATTCCCTGATGTTTTTCCCTGACACAAGAAAATTCCTTGACATTTCCCGGTTTTCCCGGTCGCTAGACACCCTGTCCTCCCACTAAGGTTCCATTTCTTCTTGATAATGACGAATGCTGCCATGCTAAGTAAGAACGCCATATGAACATTTGAGAGTTGCTAAATTTCCCTTGATAAAATATTGATTTTTCAGGGAAAGTATAAATATTTTCCTTGAAATTTCCAGACATTTTAGATCGAATCACAAACAATATTATCTGCAAAATTGGAAGACAAAGATTCAAAATTTTTCCTGAAAATTAGTGATTTGTCGAGGGAAATTTGGCAACGCCTAGAGGCTTATACGGCGTTTTTCCTTAGCACGGAGGAATGTATATCCAGATATTTTGTACTAAAAACTTGGATCTTTTCCACATTTTCCAATGCAGAGCAACAACTTGAGAAATTAAGGAAAAGATTACCTTTGCAGAGTCCATGATTACAGTTGGAACAAAGTTGAGGAAAATGTGATTACAGTCGGTGCGTTTGGCAAGAGGGTGACTGAAAGCAACTTCCAGCTCGTCCATGGCTTCAAGAAGCACTCTTTCACCTTCGTTCTGAAGGTACTCAAAGGATGCTTCTTTCGTGATAAGGTCTGAGTGTCTGATGATTGATCGGATGAAGAATCTATAATCGGTAACTTCTTGCCCTTTTGCAACCTGGAAATAAAGATAGAAGATGATCAGAATAGAGAAGAATGAAAAAAATTTAGGAAAGTGCATTCCGGAAGAGATATGGGTCGGTAGCATCCAATTTTCATACTTCACTTTCTGAAAATACAGAGTGAACTAAGCTCCCAAGAATTTTTTAGATTATTTTACACCCAAAGTGGCAAAAAAACCCCGTTTTGAAAATGCCAAAAATGAGACCCATTTGAAACAATGTTGTTGGCAGGCGCCTGGTGGGGGAAATGGCATTTGCTGGCTGACTAAATTCATATTCAGGCTTCGCCTTTCTACGTCAATCCAACTATTGGCTTTTTATTAACTTTTCCTCCCCTTAGAGATGATTTTTTGAACTTTATAATGAACTTATTGGTTTTTCCACAAAATTTTACATGAGAAACACTAGACTACAACCCTTCCAAAATTCCTTGCAAAGGGTTTCTCACAAAATTTTACGTAAGTAATGATACTCAAATCGCAAATCTCTCACACATGCTAGAGCCCCATTCACTGCTTGACTGGCAACATTTGATCAGTAACCAAGCTAGTTCTCATAAATTTAAATTTTTAAGAACGGAAAAATTAAAAGACTGACTGATTTTCCTCTTCTAAAGGCAATGATTAAACACATACGACTGAGAAGACTAGGTCTAAAAAGAAGACAGACTTTTTGAAAAGGGCCTTACCTTTGCTTTACCCAGATACAGGTACATTTTTCTGTTAGAAGTAGGAAGTGCTTCGAGGTGATATGTTTTCATTCTATTTAATTCTAATTGGAATGCCATGCCTGGTTCTAGATGTCTGTAAATTCTATCTTCAACGAAATTGTCGCAGTTACGGAATGTGAATAATTTCGGGAATTGACGCCTGAAAAGAAATCAGGGTTATTGATTAATGCATAAATAATCAACGTTTTGTTTGCCGCACACTAACTTCACACAGAGCAGCATAAAATATGAAATGAAAAATTCAAAAACGCTTACACTAAAAGCCAGGTCACTTTACATGACTTAACATTTATTACTTGCGTGTGTGATGTAAAAAATGACAATTAACAGCAATACAAAGAGGCTGACAGCAACAGCAAGTAAACTCTAAGCCAAATACATTTTGGACCCTGCTTTTGGAATTTTTTCAGTTGAATTGTAACTAAACAAACAAAACTTTAAAGAGACGTTTAACTAGAGCAATGTAGATATTCCCCAGCTATGCTGCGGACCTCTTTACTTTTTCAGTCTGAAAATATTACATATATATGTAATTCCTCTTCCCTAATCAAGAGATGCCTCAATTAAACAACTGAACTAACAACTACAGTGGGAAATAAAACAAGGAGCAAAACAAACACTTGTATTTACCTATTTAGAGCTAAGAATGTGATTCTTCTGATAGACTTCTCTTTCAGTTCATCACGGTTTTTGGCACAGAAGTCACCGAACATTTTACTTAGCTTATCATCCTCCAGATCACCATTATCTTTCACAGCAATACAGAGGATGTGAATTGGTTCAACCTGCAAACATGAGATAAAAAAACAAAACTAAGAATATGAGGACTTAGAAAGAGAAGGGGGGAGGGAGAATCTAGGGAGGGAAATCTATAAATCTTCGAAAAATATAAAAGATATAGGGAAGCAAGCCAAAAAAAAAAAAAAAAAAAAAAAAAACAGCTTGTGCATACGATACTGTAATATTTACTTGAAGATGCTCGTGGTGACACAAGCCATCCAAATTCGAAGATTAACCGTTTTAATTGTCTAAAATTGAATTTTTGCCATCATTGAATTCTATGAAAATATATGTATTAGATTGGTGGTAAGTTAAAATAGAACTTTTGACCACAGCAAAAGAGAGACTGATATCAAGAAAGAGCAGTTGCAATACATAATTATTGCATCTTTATTACTTAACATTCGTGTGAAGAAATTGGGATGAAGCTACGCTGATTCAGCATATTTTTGAGAGAAATGGTGGGGTAAAAAATCAGGGTGTCAACTAAAATTTCATTTTATGTTTCCCTAACACTTTTCTGACTTTACTAAATACTTCGAATGAAATTTCCTCATATTTTATGTGAAAAAACTGACACTGGTTTGATTTTACAAATCAGTATATTGAAGGAATTGAATAAAATGTTTCACTTTTGCATGTGTTAAACTACATGCGTTTGAAAAATGCTTGATGCTCTCTGAATCGCCTGATTCATCACCGATTTTTCTAATATCTTCCTAATAACATCAAATTTTCTGATAAATTCTGGTTTTTACTGACAAAGGATGCCTTAAAACATGTGCTTTTGAGGGGAAACCTCACCTGCAGTCCTTCCTCGCCACCGGCAGGTCTTTGAGTATCGACAGACAAGCTCACATTGATGGAAGTGCTCATTCTTGATTCACTACCACTTTCAAGAGCTTCCATAATCCTAGGTGAGACAGTTGAAGGGGATAATTCATCCAGAAGGTCTAAAATTTCATCATAATAGGATTCAAACTGGTCAAAAGACTCAAAGGCGGCCATGCAACCAGTTCTCTGGTAGCTATGAATCACAGTCGGTGCTGCGCTTGCAGTCATATCAGTCTCTGGCGCATCTCTCCCGGGTGAAGCACTGTCTGTTACTCTTTGTCTGGAATAAAGAAATTTTTAAATTAAAGTAAGGAAATGGAGTAAATAAAATTCCTTTGATAGCATCTAATTACAGAATTTCTGGTAAAATTTTATTTTCGATTTTCCTGATATTTTAAAGAGGATTTCCTGATTTTTTACGTTGGTTTGACAAATCAACATTTACTGAATTGAATAAAATGTTTGAAAAATGCTCGTCGCACTCAAGATTTCTTGATCCATGGCTGATTTGCTTGATTCTTCCTGGAGACATCGAATTTCCTGATATTTTCTGGTTTTTACTGACGGTAGACACCCCGAATTACCATGGAATATTATGCATTTAACTGCGGACTTCCTACTTTTTTTTGTTCTCAAAAAAGTTCTACAGTTCTGAAAAACAAGAGGGCATTTCTGTTCTAATTAATTCTACACCTTGCTCATTGTTTGTTGCAAGGATTAGTCCAAAGAAGCAATAGTTTATGAACCATTGCACTGTTTTCCCATAAATTTTGCATTGAGACAAAAGAAAAAATTAAACTATTACACCTCCTAAAATTGATCACTAGTTTTCGCTCAGTCATAACGACCATTGCATAATATGCAAAATTACTACCGATACTAGTGTACAGTTCAGCAAATAATGCAGAAGTAACTCAAGTTTAAGGATGTTTTCAAAAATGTAGCTCAACAATTCTCAACAACTTTCAGAACTCATGTTGAGACTGTTGGGGTTCATTCTATGAAAATAAATTTGAGCGCCACTTACCTATTTGGATGCGATGAGGGGAGGAGGAATTGAAACTGGACTAAAGGAACTTCTTCTGTCAGCTCCAAATGTTTCAAACAGGTGAGCTCATAGGATATGTACACACGTCGGACGTACACCTAAAACCAATTAAAATTATTTCATATAGAACATGTCAAAAAATGAATTTTTGGGCATGGTCTACTTTTCTTAGGTGATATCTCATTGGAAAAAAAGCAGGAATGTTGGACCTGGTGACTTAAGAGATATAAAGAAAGGATGGTTGAGTTAAAATTGCTTTGGAATTTTTGTAATACTTCCTACGGAAAGAAAAAAACTAAGCTGACTAATTTCCATTTCCTTTAAATGCCACTTGTTTTTCTTTTTCGCAAATTCCTTGAGAATTTTAAAATAGAAGATTGCTAAACAATCCCAAAAATGTTAGAGAGAAATTTTCTTTGCGACCCTGATGGCTTCCAATGATACTTTCGATTGTTTCTGACAGGAGTCTAAGATAAGAACTGTCTGAAAGTTTTACCTACCTACTTCAAGAACTTAAGAGTGTTAAGTAAATTTCAAATCTTCAAAGAACTTTCATTTCTTTCTCTTCAAGTAAAAGTTTAAATAAATGAGAAACTTAAAATAAGACATTACTCCTTTTCAGACGTTATACAAACTGAATCAAAGTACAAGAACATGGTACATTGACTCACCTCAAGAGCAGCGTTACAAACAGCTCTGTTGGTATGATAGAAGAAGTCATGTAGAATGTCAAATATAGAAGTCTCCGACTGAATAAGTTTTTGGAGATTTTCAGGATGGAAGTCATGTCCATACATGTCGACAGCTGACAAGAATATGGATTCCATTTGATTGTGACGCAGTTCATATGCTGGTTGATGGGCAGCAATCAAAACCTGGAAAACAAGAAAAATTTAATAGGCTCTCACAGAAAAAACGCAAAAATTAACAGCCATTTATAAAAAAAACAAAAAAACTGATATGTAAGAAGTCATTTATTCAGTCAACTCTTACTCAGTGAGCCGGTATCAAGACTGCAGTTTTGTGCACACTTGGCAAGATTTCTCACTTGAAAAAAATTAATTGATTTTATTCCATAATTTAAAAATTACACTAAAACATTGCGAAAGATATTTCTAATCCCAAACACATGGAATTTTTTTTTTCAACCACTTTTCTCCCTTTCTCTTGGCGGATGGGGGTAAACGATTGTACCAACTCCTCCCCATTCTTAGCCTCTACGAAACTAGTGGCAAGCCATGAACAAAAAAAGCTTGCCGATTATTTGAAGGGGGTAAACTGTTTGAAAATATAAATTATCTACCAATCGACAAGAGAAAAAACATTAAATTACGACCGAAAGACTAAAGGGAACAGTATGGAGGAATACAGCACGGTCTGCAATTTTCTAGAGGGAAAACAAAGCTGTGAAAAATCCAAAAAATTACAATTGCAGATTTCGGAAAAAAAATTAATAAATACTAAGAAAAGCGTTTTCCTGATTTCCACTCTCATTCAAGTTCACAGTATTTAATCTTACACATTTCATCACGTTTCAAAGCTAAAATGACTTCACGGTCAATGAGCTCTGAACGTTTCAAATGTTTCAGTATCAAAACCTGGCAACCTCTACATTCATTTGGTTGGTCTAGGGTTCAGAGCATTCCACTCTAAAACGTGGAAAATTCAACATTGGAATCAGAAACAGAAAAGTTGCTCACCTGTCTAGCTCTGAGAGCTACTCTTGAGTGCTCGCTACGATTGAGAGATGTGAGTTCGTTGAGAGTCGTTGCTAGTTCATCAGTCAAACCAGGCTCATTGGACCACAGGTGATCAATCAACATTGTTACCAACATATTCTTTTTGGCAACCTGTCCATGGGAGAATATTGTCCCTGTGACAGCTGCCATATCGTCCTTAAACTTTTCACGGATAGCTGTTACACATTTGTCGTAGTGACCTGTAAAAACCGAGATTAGACTGAATGACTGCTGAAATAACCGAATGACTGAGTTTTTCTTTTAAATTGACTGCTATATAATTACAACTCCACCTGTTCAACTTAGTGATCAATTTCTCAGAGGGGTAATCTTACCTCTACAAGAAACGATTGGTAAAAATTAAGGAATCAAGTCCAAAGTAATAATAATAATAATAAATATCGAGGCAATTTGAGCCAACAACACGAGCTTCAACACGAGAAACGTATTCTAATTGGATTGCATTTTGGAAAAAGGAACCAGGAGCATTGCAACTTTGCAAAGATTGTGCAACTTCTTTTGTCTTGGGAGAAAAACCTGATTATTCATTGACAGTTTCTATCTCACTCGCTAAAAACTGTAAATTTAAGACAAAAATTACCATGTGAATTTCATATTTTTTCATGATATCAGTAATTTTATTGCAAAGGATGAAAATGCACAATCTTAGCATCAATGCAATGCTTCTGGTTCCTTTTTTGCAAAATGCAATCCGATTGGTGTCGAGAATAATGTTAGTTTGTTTTAATGTGGAAGTTTTGTAAGAAAAAAAGGTTATGAAAAAATGAAAAAGTCATTTATATGCTCCTTAAAATTTCATTAAAAAAAATTACACACACTAAATTTCAAATGACTTCCTTAAGTGTGACTTAGGTAATTGGAGCAAAACTTTGGCAATTGTTAAAAATGCGACTTTTATCAATCCCACACTTCATGGATAAATTAATTGGACATACCTTGCTGGAACTGACTTTCCACTTCGTAGTACTGTCGCAGAAGTTCATGAACTGCAGACTTCATGCGGCCTCGGATGCCATTTCTATACCTTTGAACTAGCTGAACAATACCCTGAGTTGTGAGGAAGAAGCCATCACGGTCTGACCGTTTCTGGAGGGTTGCAGCGTGGCTGTTCAGGGAAAGATCAGGGGGTTAGTTGAGTCAGTTGAAAATATAATGTTGCTACGAAAGTCATCAAAATTTTAACCATTAGCTATTAAAATTAGAATTGAATTGCTGCAATTTTATTTTTATTCCTTCACATAAAACACAGAACAGGACATGAATTCAGTAAACAGACAGAAAAATAATGATTTTAATCTAATTGAATATTTTTCCCTGAAGGGTTTTTTGCAGAAATTGAGTAATGTTCCACCTCAACTATAGGTCACTGATAATTTACCGTCAGCAACTTCGTTTGAAGATCATTGGAACTCGAATTCACGGCGAATGAAAAAAAGACAAAATATATGAGATAAAAGTCTTTCCTCTTTGTGCTTTGTTTGAATGAAAGTGGCTTTTAAAGCTATACCGATTATTTCTAAACCAGGCGAAAACTAAAAAGTAGAGAAAGCAAAGATTATTGTCCGAATACTGACCTGTCAATGACACTGGCGATTTGCTGACTTGGAAATTGAGCAAGGACAGACGTAATATTTCTTTCGTAAAGGGTCATCAATTTACGGATTTTCTTCTCTACAGAGATCGGAATTCGACCAGAGATTGAGGATATAACTTCCTGGAATACAAAAGAGAGAGAAATTAGAAAAATAATGCACATTTTTGACAGTGACATGTTATCACCACTAGGAGTGCTTCAAAGACAATCAACTATGTATCACTGGAATCTTAAAAGGATTAATTTTCTGCGGAGCTAAACTTAAGTATTAGAGAGTTAGGATATTACTTCAGACATTTTAAAGAAACATGACACACAGTTTTTAAAAATCCACTTATGTGATTTGCAAATTTTACAACTTAATTAAAGGCTACTAAATGATTTTGCCCAAATTGAAAGTATGACTGATAAGCCATCGAGTGCAAAATCGATAACCTGTGAAAAAGTTTGGATGAATCAGAAATGATAACATTTCTCCGTAAAAGAGGACTCAAAAACTAATCAGAGCAAGAGTTGTAAGTTTGTTCATTTTGTAACACAGAAAAAGATTTCATGCTTCTGATTAAAAGAAATCACATCATTTAAGTGTCAGCCTCACTGATGTAGTCACTGAACAATCCTGTTTGTTTCCTTTCCGCAACTCTGATTCAGCCACACCAGAATATTGGCTAAAATACAAAACAGAGAAACCGAAATGTTTCCCGAATAAAATGCATACCTGAAGTTCAAGAAGAGGTAAACTGGGATCCCTCAAGGAACTCATGAACTTTTCAATTACTTCACGGAGACGAACTAAATGGTATGGATCTGGCAGACAGTAACCTAAAATTCACAAAAACAATAGCATAAGATTTATTTTCTATTCATGGGCAGGGACACAGGGATAATACAATAAATTTTGCATTCAAATGGTTACACAATACGGACAAACACTGCCTAACCCATGTTTCTTTTGCCCATTCACTTAATTTGCTAGTTTGCGAGCATTATTATATTCATGGATTGATGTTCACAAAAATTTACGGTTTTAGTTTCATTCAAATTCTGAAAAACAGACTAATCCATCAACCTGACAGGCAGAACGCAAAAGGATCTTTCAGTCGCAGCTAATGAAAATCTCAGAATTGCTAAAACAGTTCAGTCACTCATAAATTTAAGCGAGTGAAATTTCTCAAAAGATATCGATTTTGCAACAAGTTACTTTACAGCGAATTCCATTTTTTTGTGACGGCTTGCATACAAATTTCTTTCAATGAGTCAAACTTAATAATTATGATAAGAGACTCAAGATTAAGAATTGAGTAACTGTAAACTTGAATTACCAAGTCATTTCGAACAGATTAAATAGAATTACCAGCTAAAATGTTGTCCAACATCTGTCTGTAATGGTTGTGAGCATGGTTAAGCTTCTCTCCAACAGTTGGGGTGGATACGTCTAATTCAGGGAACTGGCCTTTGTAGTCAAGGGCCTTGGTGACAAGAGATGGGTCGTCTAACTCCAAGGTTGCAATCAACGATCCAGCATCCAATACTGCACCGGGACGTTTGGCGAAAGTTACATTTCCGTTTTCACTGGCGGTCAAAGTCATGACCATTTTCATGACCTGAAAAAAATATTAGAATATTCGTTAAGCACAATTTGCACAGTTTGTTAAGTACAATTCGTAAAATTGCAAGCTCAAAAAAATATCAACCTCACAAATGACATAGAATACCAATGTCAGGATGCTGTTAATACTTTTAAACCGTTAACAACTTATCTTCTCATCAATAATGGTCAGATTTTTTTTTACAAAATTACAATTTTGCGATCCTTTAGGTAGCAAATGACACATCGCACACTCTTGAGATATCAAATATGGTAACAGAGCAAACGAGAACTTAAAAGGACGGTAAAGAAGAATATTTTATTATGTTGTAAGATATCAGAAGAGTAACAAGTAACGCAGAAAGCCTGAGGCAGGAAGCATATAAGAGGGTTAAACTAGAGGGCCTAGCCCCCTTGTTTAATTATACTTAGTTCTATAACAGCGATGCTAAATGGTCGAGTAGATGTAAAAATTTTTCATTGGGCTGATAAAACTCTACAGTAACCATCAATGCCAATGAGTGAACCAGTATGACAGCAGAAGTAGATGTATAATTAATATTTTTTGTTGTAGTGCGCAATAACTTCGTATGAAGTACATTGCAGTTATAGAGATATTAGACTCATTTTCGCCTTCTAATTGAGGAATTTGTTTGGAAAATATTAGTAGCAAAAATATGTGCAAAATCAGCTGTATAAGATGGCCTAAAAAGTAAAATAATACTACAGAAAAAATAATTTATGGCAATTTGAATGGCCATACCTCAATTTCAGCGTAGGCTTGGCCTTTGGAAACATGTCCACCATCTTCAATGAGGAAACTTAGCAGTTTACCCGCTGATGGAGAACGGAGGAGTGACGGATCGTTCTCTTTTTCAAAGACACAAGTTTGATTACCAATAACAATACGGTATCGATCCACTTCTTCACGCATATATGTTGTAAAACTGGAACTATCAACGGACAACAGAATACCTGGTGGAAGAGAAAAGAAATAACAACGTTAAACTTTGGTATGGGAACCTACAACCAACACACCTACATTACCACACAAAACGGCTTCGTATGTAATTTTTAAATTAAAATAATTGAATAAAATTTCTCTTTCAGAGGGAATTTATAGGTTGCATTTTTTGAAGTTAAATGAAAATACTCAATTGATGGGGCTCTACACAGCTTTGCAAGATTCATCCATAGGGTACAGATTTGTTTTAAAAGAGAAGTGAGTAAGTATAAAAAATCCAGAGAAGTGCAACAACTTACGAATGAATCAATTCAATCATCCCTTAGATCAAACTTCTGTTCCACCAGAATTTAACTTCCTTATTTTGAACCCTGTGTTTCACATGCATTTTGACCGTAACTTTAAGAAAGATAGACATAGGACGCTGTGGTAAACTGCTTGGACCGTTGAATTTCCTGTTTTATTCTATGATTGATCAGTCCAAATAATTGAAGAAAAGATGACCTAAGACTAAAAGACTCACCTCCGTCTGACAACCTGTGGAGCTCAATCTCTTTAAAAGATCCGTTCATGACTAGGAAGTAGGAGTTGGGACCAGATTTTGTGGCGTGAACCTTGTACTTCAAGCCATCGTTAATCAACTCCACTTGAACATTGTGATCCAAAGTATTTGAGCCCTGAATTTGTCCTCTGAAAGAAAGAAAAAAAAACGAAATAAAATGGAATCTTACGCTCCTGCAGTAGAAAGATCTTATTTATGTTGAGATCAGTTAGATGAAACAAGAGAAAAATAAATCCAACAGGGAAAAAAGAGGTAATAAAGACACCACTTTCATCTGTAAAAAGAGAAAAGTTGTTAATAAAAAATGATCGCATTTAACGTTGACAGAAAAATAACACTCTCGTCAAAAAAAATATTATTTGATTAACTTAAAACTTTTTTGAAAACCGATTATGTAGCACTTACTTTCTTATTGTTCTCTAAGCACTATGGCCATTTCGAGCGGGCAGGCCGCCCATCTTCAGGTGACTCATGGGCGGCCTGCCCGCTCGAAATGGCCATAGTGCGTAGAGAACAATAAAAAAGTAAGTGCTATATAATCGGTTTTCAAAAAAGTTTTAAGTTAATCAAATAATTTGTGTAGTGCCGATACAATTTTAAAAAAATGTGCAATATGCAACAACATAGCAAAAAGAAATAACTTAGAACACTCAACATTTTGTGTGGTTCCTATTTTATCAGAACATTCCAAAGAGCAGAAAATGGCAAATAGGTCCCCTTTTTCACCGCAATGGTGGTGTGCTCTATTTCCAATTGACTCTACGCACCATTAAGAGGTCATAAGATTATTTTTTGACTTCATTTCTGGGAGGAATTTTGGGCTTTAGCGGATAATTCAGTCAATTCATACTTATTGTCTAATGATTGAAACATGGATATTACCTTTCTAAGGACGTCTGGAAGTTCTGGAATGCATCAGTTACCCTTCGATCAGCAATATGAAGTGCACCACACATTACACCTAGAAGGATGTCAGGCTTTTCAGATTGCACTTTCTCTGCGATTAAAACATCGAGCCAGGCCGTGTCAATTGTATTGATCTACATTTAAAGAAGGAAAAAATAGAATGTTTAGAGTAAAGTTACAGTTGATAAAATTTTAAAGGGAATTCTTAAGTCAGAGATTTTTTAAGGTCAAGGAATCAAATTGAAAGACTTTTTTCCTCTGGAAACGTGACAAAAAAACTAAATTGATAAATGGACAATTACTTTCAGAGGAGTGTGAACCCGTAAAAATGTTTCATGGTTCATAACCATGGTTTTGGAGGTTTACAAAGAAAAGCCTTATCATGCATCTTCTGGAAACTTTTTATCTTGTAGCAGCTACAAACAGCTCATTGTCCAGCATCCACAAATCGACGGTGCAAGTCAGCAATCACATAACTCGGTTTGCGACGTCGCAGACTTCCTGTCATACTTTATTTTTATTTTTTAAACGGAAAACCATTCAACGGCAATTCTTTAAAACTGCCATGATTTTTCTTCATTTTGCGAAGAAAATTCTGCAAAAACTTCAAGGAATGATGTCAATTAGTTCTCCTTTAAAAAAATAACATCGAGGCGGAGATTTTCAGACACCGCAAACGAGTTATGTGATTGCCGACTTGCACCGTCGAAATATCACTTAATAAAACAATTTTCAAACAAATATAACAGGTTTAAGGTTTTGTAGCTAATGAATGGACGATATAAATATCAGCTAAATAAATACACAAATAGACTTTATTGAATAGCTAAGTTCTGTACCTGGAAGCTCTCTGTTTCTAATAATGTAATGAGGTATTCAACAGTAGTACGGAAATCACCCCGAATTGAAAGCTCTTTGAGAGCAATGACCAGGTTTCTGAAAAAATAAAGGAAAAAGTTATCTTTTAGTGACAAAGCTAGAGAAAAAAAATTTAAAAGAGAATTTTTCTTCATTAAACTATTACATATTAATTACTTAATTAGCAACATCAGATAATTTTTTACGAATAGTCTTTTTAGTCTATCGTCATGCATTCACATGCAAACTTTTGCATACCTCTGAAAATGGCATAAACTTTTTATAGAATCGGTTACCTATTCATAATTAGGTATCATCAACAGAGTATGTTGATCGTTGCTTTTGATTTATCACTTTAATTTCCAGTTATTTGGGCTTTTTTGCAGTCACTCAGCTGAAAGTACAATATATAGACTTGATTTTTCCACAAAATCTGAATTATATTTAAGTGCACACAATAGGTCAGTTGCCCTGGTCACAGAATCGTATTTTGATGCATGATTCTTCTAGATTAGCTAAAAATATTAAGATCCGTCGAAACTGCACCTTTCTACTTTTAATATTAACCGAGATAACACCCTTTGAAAAGTCGGATTTTTGACGTCATCCACCACAGTAGGGACACCCTTGGTTTCTTCCTCTTTTGTTCGGTCAGTGATGCAAAGAGCGCAACGCAAAACTTCAACGACATTCCAACATAACAATTATACATAAACAAACTGTGGTGAACTGACTGACCGCCTAATCTCTCTGCATAGAGTGCATTATCTCATGGTAAGAAGATCCTCGAAGCACAAATCTGTCCGTTCCTTGAGTTAGTTAATATTGAATGTCGTTAAAGTTTCGCATTGCGTCGTTTACAATACAGATCGAACGAAAGAGGAAGAAACCAAAGGTGTCGCTACCGTGGTGGATGATTTCAAAACCCCACTTTTCAAAAGGCTACATTTTGGATAAAATTGAACGTAGAAAGTTGCTGGATCTTATTATTTTCATCTAAACTACAAGAATCAAGCATCACAACACGATTCTATGACCAGCGTAACTGATCCAATAAGGTTCACATACCATCTTCTGACTGGAATACATCAATTTGTGCGTTTTATCGATCACATTACATATTTAGTTTTTAAAATCATGAAAGAAATGGTAATACTGCTTTATAAGAAACTCACTCTCTGGCCTGTTCTCTGTTTTCTCCCCAAGAGAAACAGTGACCGAACTGAGAATCAGCAAATTCATGGAGACCTCCAGATGCGGCTACACTGAAGTAACCCCACACGTTCTTTGAGGAACGGAAGTTCAATTCCTGTACAGTACCAGAACTTGGTTTGAAACCTGCAACAAAAAAGCTTCATAGTAGAATCTACGAAGTTCCAACGCAAACATACAGAAAGCACATTATTTATTAGAGCAAGACCTGAGCAATAAACAGAGCTAAGCTAAGCCCATCAATTTAAAAAACAAAACTTTTAAGTGTATAAGCCAATCAAAGATGAATATTTACACAACAGCACTAAACATGACATTGGCTCTTCAGCTGATTCCAGAACGACTTCGATTGACCAAACGAGCCTGTTCAGAGAATTTTCAGTTGAAAATCTTTTAATTTAAATAAAAGAACGTAAAAAAAAAACCATAGCATAATGAGAGACCCTGTGAACTTTTACAATCCTACATCCTTCCATAAATTCTTTGGTGTTTGGCACTAACCTTTCATTCATTTTGATCGTGCTATGAGTTTTAATTAAAATAAAAACCTAAGTGTCAAAATCTTTCAGTTCAACAAAAAATCAATGAAATCTTCTCCGTAGATTGCTCAAAATGGGCATTATAACGCCAACTCTTGGGAAAGTAAGGGAGGAGGGGATGGATTTGGCTTTCAGAGCGTCTCATGCAAAAGAGGGTAAAAAATTTACAAGTGAGACAATTTTGAAGGCATCAGGACGTCGAGCTTTTACCGTAATCATTCATCATCAAAATGGTAGAACTTCAGAAATAAGCGTTAAACCGTGACCCTTAGCAATCTTATTCATAAAGATTATTACAGCATAGACAGTTAATTTTTAAAGTAAAATGAAAGAATTACCTTCATCTGGATTTTCACTGGTAATTCGGGCAGCAATGACGTGACCCCATGGTTGAGGTTTGTGTCGTGGCTGGTCGAAATCAATTAGACTATCTCCCCACGGGCTCTCGCCATAGAGTACTCGGATATCCTTGATGCAATGCAACTGCAAACCCATGGCAACTTGGAGCTGAGCCGCTGGCAAATTGACGTCTGCGACCATCTCTGTACATGGATGCTCTACTTGAAGCCTAGGGTTCAATTCTAAGAAGTAGTACTGGCCTTCGCTAGGATCATACAAATATTCTACTGTACCAGCACTCACGTACCCGACCATCTTGGCCAGTCTCACAGCAGCCTGCAAAAGGAAAGTCATTTTTAGAGACTCAATTTCATTGAGAACTATCCGCAGGAAAAGAGGCCTTACTGCCTGATGGCAGATTTTTTGGGTTAGTTTTCATTTTGACATTTTAAGCAATTTCCTTTTACTTGAGATAAAATTTGCCTTGTAAGAAAAATTTTTTTAGTTAAATAACAAGCATGCTCATCTGAAAATTTTAAAATTGTTCTTTAGCACAACATCTTTAACATGCTTGCTGATGTAAATGTGATGACTTCAAATAATCATTTTGCGAGAATTTCTAAACTACATGGCAGTAAATGGTTATTAGAACTGTATAAAACTACATTGGTTGGTATTTTTTCTTGGAAAGTTTAGAAAAAGACAAATCGAGGTGGAGCTACCAGACTAAGTATATTGGTTTGCGACCTTTGCAGACTTCCTGTCATAATTTATTTTTTGAAAGGAGAACTATTCAGAGTCAATGTTTTAAAACCTTTGTGATTTTTCTTCTTTCGGCAAAGAAAACTCAATGAAAACTTCAAGGAATGATATTGATTTGCTCTCCTTCAAAATGATAAAGTGAGAGCAGAGATTCTTAGACACCGTAAACGAGATACATGGTCTGGTAATTTCACCATCAACATTGACTTGATTGCATTGATTGACACAAAGAATTGCTGATATGATCAATGCTTTTTTTCAATGCTGAAGCAGGCCAATTCATTCAAGGGATTTGATACAGTCACAGTGTTACTTAGTATCAATGATAGAATGCACATTCTCATATCATTATGAAAATCAAGTTTTTCTTCCATAAAGATTAATTGAGGACCTCTCCGGTAAAAGAGCGTAAAACGTAAATGGCAGTTCTGAGAAAATTGCATTTTAAATACTAGAAAACCGAAACTCGGTTAAAAGGAACATAAAAGAAAAAGTTTTTTACCTTTTCCATATCTTCAAAGATTTCTGGCTCAGCAATCACAGCAGGTGCTTCTTCAATAATTTTTTGATGACGACGTTGGATTGAGCAATCACGACCAAACAGGGAAATTGCATTTCCGTATTGATCAGCTAACAATTGTACCTCTAAATGCCTAGCACAACGTGCTAACTTCATAATAAAAATGGGAGAACCAGGAACTTCAGATTGTACCTAAAATAATTCAAAACATTATTAGAGCACAAAATCGAGACATTTCTACGTTTGACCTGATCCTCTTTCTCCATTAAATAAAACTCTACATGTTACTTTATATTAATCAAATGAAAACATGATCTTTTTACTCTCTAAGAAAAATACTAGGAATAAAAAGAGTAAAGTAAGAGTGTTGGGTGCGTAAGTGTACAAGCCATGGGAGCTGAAAATTTGAATATATAAATATATTTCCACACAATATTACAAAGTCTGAAATTTTTATCTGACTGAGGAATGGGCGGAATTGAAAGGCAATGCTTCAAAAATTGGGTAGACTTGAACTTTTCATCTAACTTGCCTTATTTATCAATGTTCCACATACACATGTACTTCTATCCTCAAAAAATGTACCACAAATCAGGGAATAGCATCAAACACAGCTCATGGCACTTTCTAAGAAAGGAAGGTATTTTGCCGAATAGGATTATTTGGCCCCCACCCCTTCTGTCACTGAACAACTGAGGGTAGAGCCATCGCTGAATATGACAAAAGACTCGACCCACACTTTTCCTCTCTTTTCTTGTTCACAGTATTAGCACATACTCAATTTCTCTGGAGACAAATTAATGTTAAGGTGATTCGTCAAGCTCAAATGACGTGGTCGAAGTGGAGTGCGATATATCGCATCGATTAGGTCAAAAATCTCGGCAGATTTTGAATTTTTAGCTATATAAAGGACGACAGCCCCTGCGCATGAGCCTAAAGAATCATTCTAAACCAAAAAATCAGCAAAATTCAGAGAAATGAAAGCAAAATAGTGTTTGGAAGAAACCTCGCATTCGATATAGAAATCGATGGCTGAATCGAATGCGAGGTTTTTTTCCAAACACTATTCTGCTTTCATTTCTCGGGATTTTGTTAATTTTTGGGTTTAGAATGAATCTTCAGGCTCATGCACAGGGGCTATCGTCCTTTTTTTCGCTAAAAATTCAAAATCGGCCGAGATTTTTGACCTAATCGATGCGATATATCGCATGCCAGTTCGACCACGTCACTTGAGCTTGACGAATCACCTTAAGAATTACGTAAGCCACCCATTGATGTCTGATTATGAGTGATTTTATTAATGAAGTGTCACTGATCTGTGCAGGCCCGCCACATCCCATCTCGGGCCCCGGTACCAATTTTCTGGCCGGGGCCCCTAGCACAGGNGGGGGGGGGGGGGGGAGTCCGGGGGGCCTCCCCCGGGAAATTTTTGAAATTTTCAATTCTATGGGGAGCCGGGCCCCCTTGGACTCCCCTTTCGTACGTCTATGGCAAGGGAGTGAAGCCATTGAAGTCGAGGATGCCCAGAAAGGAGCCTCTTAGCACCCGACAACGGAAGAAAATGAAACACAGTTACTAAAAATATCATTCTACATATACTCAAAATCTTGAAAATCTCTAAAAAAGTAAGAAAAATTTTATAGTGCCCTAGCGTGTTTTTGAAACTTTATTCACCTTTTGCGGAATTTTTAGGGTAATTTTTTCACTTTTCCCTACGAGACAAGGGTTACACATGAATTCGTAGTGGTTTGTCACCTACGTCACGGGCCCCTCCAGGGCCCGGGCCCCGGTACCAAGGACCCAGTATCCCCCCCCTTGTGGCGGGCCTGGATCTGTGTCGCTCATTTTTCCTTCCCAAAAGATTTTTTGGGACCAGTTTTTCGCTGAAAATGTGAAAATTGCTAAATCAAATGTAACCCAAGGAACGTAGGTGAATATAGTAAGTGGAAAAAAAAGATTGGAAGATAGAGAAGCCACAAAATTTACCTGTCTGAATAAATTAGGGAATTCTTCCGAGGACTCCACCTTACGGATACCTTTACCTCCACCACCTTCACTGGCTTTGATCATGACTGGAAAACCAATTTTTTGAGCGGATCTTAGACCTTCCTCCACGGATGACACGCAACCTCTTTTGTACAGCTCAGAGCTAATTTTAATTTTTCGTCCAGAATATTGTGCCGTCAACTCTGAAAGATACAAGCAGATATAAAAAAATATAAAGGTACAGAAAATTTAAAAAAACTAGAGCCTTTCCAGATAAATGTTTGAAAAAGCATTGTAAGACCTCCGTACCCCCATAATATAGGGTTATTCAAACAAATTCTTGTCTGTAAGTTGTTGATACTCCTAGACTGCTCTTTTTCCTCAGCTCTGTAAAATTCTGTAGTTATATCATTCTTCCATCATCACTTCTCCTCGAAGGAGCCTTTTTGATAACTTACCAAAACCTATAGAACGTCTTTACCCATACCATGCAATTCAGGTTTTTATTCATCGATAAAAAAGCAAGGGCACGGACGCACTTTCATGGACTACAAAGCAGTAATGTCCTTCAGCTCAAGAAAAAATGTCTCTACTTGGCGTTCGGGAGGTAAAAAAAAGAGAGGGCTTTTACCATGATTGTTCTACCTTCGTAGTCTCTTCCTTTTAAAATAGTAAATAGCATTGGAATTTAAGAACACTTTTTCAATAAAATTACTTGAAAGTTTCTTTTTTTACCAAATTGCTGACATTTTTTAAATAAAATGTAGATTCCTTTGGAATTTTGTATTTCTTTGTTTAAAGAAAATTCATGGATGGGATTTTGCCAAAAATGTAAAGAGCAGCAAATAATTTACCTGATCCTGACCAAGGAAGAGTAGGAATTTCAGCAGTTTGTGCGACAATACTAGATGCAATTTTATCACCAAGAGCCCACATGGCCTTCTCAGGCGGCCCAATAAATGCTATATTATTTTTGTGTAATAATTCAGGTAATTTCGGATTCTCAGAGGCATGTCCCCATCCGGCCCAAACCGCCTAGAATAAACAAAAAAACATCAAATTTAAAACGATTTTTGATTAAGAAATTGTAAAATAACTGCTTGATGGTTGAGCGCTATAATGGTTAGTACAGAGTATTCCCACTGGCTGTAAAAATATTTCCGTGTGGATCAATAATGCCACAATTGACTAATGGGAATAAGGATTTTTTATCAACTTAATCTGTTCAAAAACCTTTACCTTTCTGACGTATTAAAAATAGTCTATTGCCTGATCAAATTCTCTCGAAGACTGACAAATGGAAATAGCATCCAATTGATGAAAGGAAATTCATGAATTCGTGAATGATAAATTCAGTGATAAAAGAGGAAAATACTTTTATTCATATCAGTACCCCAGAGCCAAATGGTGCCTAACTCCATTTTAGTCTTTTCGAGATATCAGGCAAAAACCCTCGGCGACCAGCGATGTCAGGCGGGTCGGCCCCACTAATTTCAATGGAAATCGCAATTTTTGAAACTCCATATCTCATAAGCAACGATATGGCTACCAAATTTTCCACATACACCGAACCGCTAATGGAGATTTCAAAGACGCCACTAACCCGATTTTTCCAAAAGCTAGACACCTTCTAGCTATGGGGTACTGATATGATTCCAGCTACTTGTTAAATCCTTGGAATCTAGTAGTATGATGGTCAGAAAAATTAACATTTTTCCTGAATAAATATGTTCATTTTTCTTCTTCCATGTGCAGTGGGCAAAAAATTAACAGCTCTCTCAAATTTGGTTGAGTTCAGTAAAAATTTTGAATGCTTACCTGGACTTGGGTACGTAACGCAATGTCGACAATGAGCTCAACATTGGCATAGTTGTTATTGTTGGTTCCTCCTGGCACCGGGACGTAGTGATCAGCCATTTTGATGTATTCAGCGTTTGCTGTTGAGTTAAGCCAAAATTATTTATAATTCTTACAGATGTAAAATAAATATACTTAAATTATAGATTACTGCAGGTATAGATGAAGTGAGTGCATTTTAAAGGTTCTGATTAAATGAGTTCCTATACTTGAAAAATAATTATGACCATCTACGGGATATGGGAGTTTGGAAAGTCACGGTCAATGGGAAATTTCGAGATTAAACAGGTGTATACTGAAAGGTAGTTTTCCTTTCCCAATTTTTTATTTTTCTTTTTATTTAAGTAAGTTTCTTCAATTTTTGTATGGTTTCAAGATTCAATATTTAACTTTGCATCTTTGTTATTCAAACTAACCAACTAATTTTATAAAAAAAAAAAAAAAGGTTTCTGCTTTACTTTTGTGCAAGAAGAATGGAGGGAAAAAATTAATTCTCTCAATTTTTCGATTAAAACCTGTTGACTAACTCAAGTAGTAAAGCCACAAGGGATCTATAGAGGACACTGATAGCTGATAATTTTAAATAGAAACAATTTTAGGGTGAGTTTAGAAAACTTTATATTATCATTCATTCTATGAGCTTTTTGACCCTTGAAATTGTTCACTCTAGGCCAATGTCCACAATTTTTCAGCTATCAGCAGGTAATAATCTCTGGATGAGACTACTGTTTAAAAATTTTCAAGTATAACCCAAGTTTTTTCTTCCACATGGCACTCATTGAAGATTGGATTGTGTAGCAGCCAGAAGATAGCCTCTATTACTCTCAGGCAAAATTAAAATATAATAAGGGCATACCTTTAAGATCCTCAGGAGTGACCATGACCACAAATCGTACGGCTCTTTCATTCTTAAACATTTCATAGGACCATCTACGGATTGAACGCATACATTTGACCGCAGCGATTCCATTGTTAGCGATTAAAACCTGAATAAGACAAGACAAAAAGAGCATCAATGAGCTGCATTCCATTTTCATCATTTCTTGTTTATTTTATTATTCATTATTATTTCTTTAAATTGGGAAAAGTAGAAAATGGAAGAGTGTCCAAGGGTAATGTCTCCTTGGAAAATAATATTGCACCGGATCCTGCAAGTTTCATTCCAATTTAGGTACTTGAAGGGCAGAGTATTGGTTGAAGGTGTGACAAATTCTGGGAAATCATCATTCCTGTGCTGTGACCAGAGAAGGAACTTACTCCAAGCAAAAAAGAGGAACCGGTTCAAACAGCATAAAATCTTTCAGCAGTTGGCTCAAGACTTCTTTGAAATTTTGCTCTAGTTCACCAGTGCTAGGGTTAGAATTTGAAAAACAAGAACACTGGCCTGGTCAACAGACTAGCCTCTGCCTTCCTTTAGACTGGTGAAAAATTTTTAAAATAAAAAATTTAAAATAAAAGCGCCTGAATTTTAAAATCTATTCGAATAAATTACCTTGTTAATAACACGAGTGCCTTTGAATCTTTTTACAAATTCTTCAGGTGTACCGACAGTAAAGTCTTTGTCCAATAGTCTTTGATGAATAACAGTGCCTTGAGACATAGAAGGCCTGAAACAGAAAAATTCAACCATATTTATCCTCTGTCGGTTACAAAAAAATTGAGAAAGCAAAAGGAAAAATGTTAAAAAATTATAAAGCTTTTAATTATGATATGATATAGACATAGAAATCTATTCTTGGGTCAAACACAAGACATTGAGAACACAAAGAAACATAAGAGTCCGATTACGATAAGTGAGTTGCTACGCACGCAAGTTTAAGAGATGACAAATGAGAATCCATTCCAAGTGTTTAAGGCAAAGTGAAGAACTTGCCAAGGGGTTAAAAAATATGAAGGTCTGAAGGAAAGTGAGTACCTATGCAATTTAAATGTTGCATTTTTTCTTACAGAATCAAGATGCTTCAATTTAAAATTAACTGCCAAAATTAATTTTGGCTGAGGGTAACGCAGATCAAGAAGCGAATTATACTTTAAAATAGGTAATTGTAAGTAATTATCTTCGAGTTCCAACAGAGCTGGTTTCAGATGAAGTGCACTCAGCGGAACAGCTGGAAACCCGATACTTTTAACAGTTTCGTACAAATTTCCATACAACACAAGGTCATTTTATTTTTTAAAATGACACTTCTCACTAACAACGCGATGACCGAAGTACGAGACCGCGTATCTTCGTTTGCAACGTTGCAGACTTCGTTTCACAGATCAATTTTTCTGAGGAAGACCAGTCGATGTAATTTCTTGAAAATTTCTTCAGTTTTTTTGTCTTTTAGCAGAGTATATTCTAAATAAATGTCAAGCTGTAAAGTTGGCCTGTTCCTCTACGAAAAAATAAAATGGAAGCAAAAATTCTGAACCATGCGAGATACGCGGTTTCGCACTTAGTCATCGAACTGATCATATTAACAGACTCCTTTTTCTGCCCGGTGCCGCGGTGGCCCTTCGATTCAAATAACTACATATTGTAAAAGAAACTCACAGAATGGTTTGCATTAGTCTCAATATGAGAGAAAACCGATTGCACAATTCTGGCAACGTTGAAATGCACGTGTACCATTTGATCTTCGAGCTTATAAAAATCACAGTTTTAGTTATGTATTCGGGAAAATGTTGACAACAGAGCGGCCTGCACTAAACACAATGATGGACCACTGGAGAGGGTAAGAAATAAGGAACTTCAGAACACGCTTCCTTATCAAAATATCACGACAAACATGTTGAACATGTTTTGAGACTGTCTAAAATAAACTAACAATCAGAATGGAGAAACGAACCTTTATAATTTACAAAATATCCGGTCAATTTAAACTTCCCGCGCCTCCGAAAAAACAAATCAACGTGAATCAAATCAGTCATTAAAAACAAACCGTGTCGTTCAGCGAATGGTTGGAGTGGAATTTTGCGAGAACCTACTTGGATCCGCGATGCTTTACAGCTTGTTGGAAAAATTATTAGCACACTAAAAAAAATATTCCATGCCAAAGCGCAAAAGGTAATATTGGTTCTTCGCTCGATTTGACTCCAGTAGACTTTGGTTTGTTGGCGAGCGGAAAGTTTGAACCGGCTGTAACACAAAACCGCGTGTTTCTTCGCTTATCAGTTGAATTTGGACATTTTCAATGTACCCAAAGTATTGACCGTGATATTTGGACGAAAGTGGCCTTTATTTCTTACCCTTTCTAGTGAACTATTCCACTGAACCGAGCGAAAAACTACACGCTTATCCTCGGAAAGAAAAACACTAAGTACCCGTAATCACTACCGTTGCAGAACTTGAAAGACAGGAGGGGTTCGGAATACACTGAGACGCGAAGAAAAGTTGAAAAGCGATCCACCGCGAGAGACCGTTTACGATTGAAGGCCAACAGCCGATATTCTGATGGCACATCTTCATTCTGTGCGTCGCGCCGCCCTCTCGGGCAAAAATCACGTAACTGCCCCTGAGGACCCCGCGAGTATGTGCTGTTTTAGCCCGGCTCCAGTGTGCATCGGCCGATCATACGCGGATATGTAACGCGGGATTCCCGCGCCAGATGAATCTCGACGCCCCGAAATTTATGAAAAATTCATGCGCTGCGAATTCGTGCGGAGGATTTCGAATTTCGAATAAATTCCCCCGTGCATCTGCGAATTTCCCGTTGGGAACGCATCCTCCGATTGTCGAGTGAGGTGACGAGAAAAAATTCCAGATTACTCAATCGGGCGGTAAAAGCCCGATCGGCGTAAACGCCCAAATTTCGAGGTCGCGGTGGCTGAGATTCGGTGGGGGTGGGTGGGGAGGGGGAGGGGGTACAAAAACTCGCGGTTGCGATTGGACGCGCGTGAAAATGGGAAGACCCCGAGAACGGTGTTTTCACCGGGGAAAGTCGGCAAAATCATTTTTTCCCCCTTTTTTCTTTTTAAATATTTTAAATATTAGGTTGCAAAACTGCGGTAAAAACTACGTGTTTTTCGAATAACCGCGGTAAAAATCATTCGTTTTTCGAATAACCGCGGTAAAAATCATTCGCTTTTCGAATAACCGCGGTAAAAATCATTCGTTTTTCGAATAACCGCGGTAAAAATCATTCGCTTTTCGAATAACCGCGGTAAAAATCATCCGCTTTTCGAATAACCGCGGTAAAAATCATCCGGTTTTCGAATAACCACGGTAAAAATCATCCGCTTTTCGAATAACCGCGGTAAAAACCATCCGCTTTTCGAATAACCGCGGTAAAAATCATCCGCTGTTCGCAAAATCGCGGCGATTCCTGCGTACAGTCGCAAAACGGGTCATTTGTTGAATTTTTTTTCGGAAAAAGGGGATTTTCAAATGGGAAGGCTAAGAACTTTCTGCATCCCGGGAAGGGGGGAGGGGAGAGACGACGACTTGTACGCGAATTGGATCGGCTCTAGTTGATTGCTGAAAAATCGAGAGAGAAAATTATATTCCTTTATATGAAAGTGTTCGAGGACCTGAGATCACAGGTTTTTTATAACATATTTTCTGCTGATACGGAAATCGGAGAAAAATTGACTTTCAAGTGCCTTGTGATGTCATGAGGCATTTCCCATTGAAACGCATGCATATTTTAGCAGATCATATCATTCTGTTATAACTTTTCCTATAATTGTTGAATTCAGAGATGAGGATATATTTGTATTAAACTTACTCGAGTTCTCATTTATTGTTCAATGAGATTCATAAAATTTTAAACGCTTGCGAACTCTCTATTGCTTCCATTTGTTGTTCAATATGAACCTTTCATTTTAATGCTTTAGAGCAGAGAACGAAACAACACTAGCTGGAGTACATGCTGAGAATACAGTCGTGCTAAGAAAGAACGCCGTATGAACATTCGAATGTTGCCAAATTTACTCTCAGAAAATACTTATTTTTAAGAAAAGTTATGAATATTTTTCATTGAAATTTTCAGATACTTTGGATCAATTTACGAATAAAATTCCCTAAGAATTTGGAGAAAAAATACTCACAAGATTCCCTGAAAATTCGTGATTCTTCAAAAGGAAGTTTGGCAACGTCTCGAGGCTCATACGTCGTTTTTCCTTAGGACGGCAGAATAAGAGCAAGGATACGGTGCTGGAACCGAAGTTCCATTGAAGAAAATCGATGAGGAAAACTGCAATTAACCGCGATGAATAAATATATTCACGAACCTGCACTCTCCATTTATTTTAATAACAGTCGTTCCTTTGAGTGCGGGGTCACGCTAATGAGGGAAGTATTAGAATTGCGAGAATAGCATTTAATTTCCGACGTGGCTCTAATCGCGCCGGCAAGATTGAGACATGGTTCGTAAAATTACCGGATTTCCGACCGCTAAAGTATTGCGGGAAGTTTATACATGAAAATTCGGAAACAATGCATGGACAGGGGTGAAAGAATCAAATAATTCGGCATTCTAGCCTAGGCTATTTTATGTTGAACAGTAGACATTTTTCTAACGCTGCAGGGTGTCTAGAAGTCCGGAAATAGTATTGATTTTTTAAAGGCGGTCCGGAAGTACTGAAAAAAGCGGAAATTCCGCAAAAAGGTCCGGAATTTTTTTAAATTTTTTGTCATTTTTGTCGCAATTTAAATTTTTTGTCATTTTAGTCACAATTTCAAATTTTTGAAATTTTTCTAATTTCATCAAATGGAGGTACTGAAAAAGTAGGGAATTTTTCTGTTGGAGGGGGTACTGAAAAAGTACTGATAGAACGCTGGAACTAAGCGTTACCAGATATGCTTTCGGAGGTCTTAGAGCTTATATATATGATAGTAAATATGTTTCTGCCACGAGTGTGATGGTTTCCTTGTTAAACTTGCTTCGAATCAAAAAAAAAAAACAGAAAATTATCTTGCGAGACGCGCGGATAATCCGAAGCGCGGATAACTGAGGTCCTACTGTACGCAGAATTTATGACGGACCCGAACCGCGGATAAGTGAGGTCCAACTGTACGCAGAATTTATGACGGACGCGTGTACATCAGACCCTCGCCTCGCGGAAAGTCGGTCAGTATAATTTCGCGCCAGGGTGCGACCTTGGTATAAAAACTGCGAATAATCTGCCAAAAAATTATGTAAATGGCGCTGAATCTTCGTAGGAACGCACGAAACTCGCGGATAGCCCGGCAGACGTCTCGTCGCTTTCCGTCACATCCTCACTCGCTGAAAGAAAAGCATAACTTAATTGTCACGTGAGCCCTGGGCAGCGAGGAGTTATGCGGACGACAGGGCTTATTTCAAATCGCACTTGAGCTTTTTCGATTGGATCCGTCGAAAAAATGCGTGAAACCCGGCAGGCACCTGCGCCTCGGGTCAAGTTCAACCTTTGAGGATTCGGACCAAAATTCAAAACCGAAACTCCATGAATTTTAACCTTCGAGAAGTCGTTAAAATCGAATCGAATTATGCATTCCTCGACGGCGGAAAAGTTTCCCATAAAGAGGTGGACTACATTTTGCAAAAAGGAACCAGTCTATCCGGCTCGTTTCAGACACAACCAATGTGACATTACTACTGGACCGCGTTTAGCAGAAAGGAACTAAGCCACATCAGCTGTTGCC